CCAAGTTGTGTAGAACCAGCTAACCTGTCCGCCAGTTCATTTTCCAACACATCGGCATGACCCGGAGAAAAGATTCAGATAATGCTCTTTGACAGTGACCTTCGAAGCAAAGTATGCCTGTCCTCATCTTCCTCAGCCGCTTTCTGAATCAGTTACAATCACGATGTGTGTGTGTGTGTCGTGTTCTCTAGTCAGCTGAAAGCTACAGTGACCGCCTCCACCTCCATTGTTCAGCTGGATTGTGTGGTATCATATGCTAGGCTCTCCTGCGTCAAGCATTAACGATTAGCTTGTGCTAAGAACCCCCATGCACGTCTTTTACCTCTTGACACTGAATCATCTGTATAAATAGTCACATCACCCGAGCGAGCATTATCCTGAATCTATTGCTGAATTTCCACCTCCATGACACCTGCTGCCCATTTCCTGCACTCCCGGCTCAGTGTGATTATGACTCTTCACAAATATTACTGTTCTTCTAGCTCTCTGACCCACTCCTCTCTGACCCACTCCACTCTGACCCACTCCTCTCTGACCCACTCCTCTCTGACCCACTCCTCTCCTAGCCTAATTCTGCAGGAAGCAAATCTGTCTGTGTCCTCCGCCTCAGCCCTCTGTGACTTTCCTATTATCAGCCGGGGATCCTTAACTGTATCCAACGCTTCGTGTAGAGGGTGATCTATGTCTACAACACGGCCGACTCTATTTCTGGAGAAGGCTGTGGTCTAGAACTACTCTGAGGTACGATTTCGCCTGCTTGTAACAGTCGGCAAACCAAGGATGTATCGTATACACATCACGCGTATCCGTAGTATATCCCAAAACTACCCTTTTAGCTGCGTTCTGTGTGAGCTCTAGTTTAACACTTGACACTTTGAGACAGTACAGCTGATTTTCAAGCCAGCGGAAGGCAGCAGTGACTGTCTCTACCTCCATTCTCAAAGTAGACGTTGTGATATCATATGCCAGACTTTGTTGCACTATGTGACGTTCAATTGCTTGTGAACCCACATGCACTTCGTCTGCCCCTTAATACAGAGCCTTCTGTATATATAATCACATCACCTTCGCGAGAATTGTCATAAATCATTTGTTGAACTTCTAATTCTACAGCACCAGCTTGCCAGTCCCTGCACTCACGACCTAAAGTGATAAGAACCCTACACAAGTCTGAAACTTGCTCGGACACTTCGACCCACTCCTTTCCTCGCCAAAACTTGTCAAGCTTGCGCAAATGTCTAATTGTGCCCTTAGTTTGCGCCATCCAAGACCTTCCTCTTTTCAGTCTGTGACCCTTAGTTTCATGCAGGAGGTGCTTCTTGTCTGCAGCTACTCTGAGATATTACTTTGTTTGCTGAAGATGGGGACGGAGCACTTATGGGAGTGTCCTTCTAGCTTGCCTTAAGACTGTTGATCGACGACCCGACAAGTTGCCATCGTAAAACATCCATTGTTTCAGAATATGATTTCTAGCTCATTTGAAAATGGCTCCTGTAAAATGTGATTTTCACATACTTCATTCAGTGTCCTTTCTCTGTTGACGTTTCTATCATCTGTCGTGAGATTTGAGACACCAGTTCTAATAATCCTGTTGTCCAGAGAACACTACAAAACAGACTAAAGAAGTAGACGACGGGGAAAGTAAAAATGTTGGGGAAGGGAACAAGCGAAAGTGACAAAAGACAAGCTTAGTCGTTGACCGGACAATTTAAATCGATGCTGTACTTTGCTGAAAAAACCAGACAAGTTAAACCTTTGACCTCCTAGACAAGTCACCCTATATTTTGTAAACGTTTTTTCGCCAGCTACTATTATCCTGTGTAATGTTACACTGCATATGTAAGAAATTAAATAGATTCTGGGTTTGGGTTCAGTCATTTCTTCCAAAAATATGTTATTTGTGCTCAATTTTCTGACTGAACCTCTACCATCGTGAAATCAATACATTCCTGTAGCTACGGGACAAATCATGAGATCGATAAATACCGCATGTCTGACAGCTCATCTATCCATTAGGTATGGCTGGTATTGTCTGTTCACTTAAACCACATAGTTCCCCCGTCCTCCCCCCCCCCCAACCCCACTTGGACTCGATTTTTGCATATTAGAAGAAGACAGTATAGTTTCACAAAACCGACACAATTTAACTGAATAACTGTAATGGTGACTGGTAATTTCGACCATGTTTGTAGATTCTTTTTCTTCTTCAGCGTTCATCCGAAGATGTAATTGCGTTGTGTCCGTTTACAGCATGACTGCGATATTTGCACCTTTCGGCCAACACATCCGACTTCTCTGTGTTCGGAGATTAATAATAAATACTCCGCGTACTGAATTATATATATTTTGCCTATGTAAATCTGACAAACACTTTGTGCATTTTTTCTTTCTTTTATTTAAGTGAATATTAAGAACGGACCTGAGCTGGGATATGAGAAGCAAACAACATTCTACACATCTGACAAGGGAACTATGTACAGAAAAACATTCAATTCGTAACTCAACAGTAACTAGGAAAAATCGAACATGACCATTAGTGTTAGTAACATACGGATTTATTCATCTCAGAAATATTACCACCTCAGTTTTCCGGTGTTCATTATTAAATTATCTTTTGTTGAACCCGTTGACTGTCTGATTTCGGGAACACAAAACAAAAAGTCGTCACGTTCAACGAGCTTCTTTGGGAAAAGGAGCTTTATGTTATAACTGTGACCGTGTTTCTTGTGCCAACTTTGTTGGCTACAATTGGGTTCATGTGCCATATTTAATGGCTTAGTGTCCCTATATGTTTATTGTGGTGTACTATTCTACCCGTCCAGGTCCGGGGCCTTGTTCTTGTTGCGGGTACTATGGTTTCTTCCAGCTCAACACACATCCTGCTGTGTAGCCACTACTGGAGTATTTGTTTGTGTTGTTCCTCTAATATTCCATTATATTGATTTGTCTCTTTTATCTTCTGTCCTTTGTTAACTCGCTTCGTATCAAGAATAGTCATCACCATGTAGCAGGTCCTTTGCAGAACGTCGCTCTCATCACAGTCTGCCTGAAAGAAACTCGGTCTCTCGCCAGTTCTCCCGCCTCATTAACTTTCACACTCAAGGAGTCACTTATATCCTGTGCCCATCTTCGTGTGCCCCTCCTTCCTGGTACCATGCCTTCTGCTATAATTTTTTTTTCCAATCCGTCTTGATATGATCAAAATATTTCAGCTTTCTAGAAAGGATGCTGTTTATTAGTCAATCTTCCTTGTGTTCAGATCTTTTAAGATGTCAATATTTCTCATCTTCTTTGTCCAAGATATTCTGAAAATCTTTCTATAGCTCAAGAATAGTAGAAGTCTATTATTAAAATAAGAAAAGAAAGAAAAAGTTAGATACAAAATTATCATATGGTGTTCGTAAATTAATATACAAGAATCATCAACAACTTCCACTTTTGCTGTTAGCGATTGGGGGGGGGGGGAGCAGTTTTAGGGTCTAGTGATCGATGGGCAGCAGTGGCTATGCTAATTACAAGTGGGTGCAGAATGTCTGTGATGGAATCAGCCCATCTTCTCCTTGGGCGCACTCTTTCTTTTCTGTCAAGATTCTTCTAGACGTAGCGCCTGTTTTGGTGGTTGCTGAGCAGGCATTCTAACTAGATGACCGAACCATCTGATCTCCTGCTTCTCAAAGAATTTAGTGCAAGGTGTTGTTCCCAGTCTGTCAGAATAATTTCTCACGCAGTCTTGTATGATTAGATTGGCAGCCTTGTCTAAACATCTCACTATACACCTATGAACATTGTAAAACGGTTTATTATTTATATGTATAATTACGTGAAGGCCACCCTGGGTCACCTCGAAAGACCTGGCCAACGGGGCTCTGGTGAAGTTGCGACAGACCTAGCAAGCCGGCAATGGATTTATTATCGCTACAGAAAACACAATGAGATATAAACGGACTGATCAAACGGTATCTGACCAAGGCAATATTAAGGGACCTTACAAAGCATACATGGAAAGAGAAGAAGGACGTAGAGCACGAGGTAGACCAAGAACAAGATGGAAAGATAACATCAGAGAAACTCTACAACAGCACGATGTGCCTATGGTCGAAGCGGCCAGAAGAGCTAGAAACAGAACCTCATATCTCCCTCGACACCCACAGCGGTAAAGGGGAAGTGAAGAAGAAGAAGAAGAAGAAGTCTCTGTCTCGCAGCTCCAATAAATAGAGCTTTGATAGAATCAGATGTTTTGTGTGGCTCTTAGACTTGTCTCTACTGCAGCTATGCTGCAAATTTTTGAAAACAGTCTTCCGAAGAATCTGTGCACAAATGAAAGATGCAAACAGCGGGGAATGGAGAGTGAGAAACAACGACGAAATGCGTAACGTGTTTAAATAACCAGTGACCAATGGCATCATGAGAGCTAGTCGACTGAAATGACTGGGGCATATTGAGAAAATGTCAAATGATAGAAAGGTAAAAACTGTGACCACAAGGGAGCTGAATGGTCGTAGACCACGAGGCATACCAAGAAGACGATGGAAATATAATATTCAGACAGATCTGCAAACACTTGGTGTCACCAACTGAAATGAGTGATATGTGCAGCAATGAACCTCAAGGGCTCGGAATACTGAAGAAGAAGAAGAAGAAGAAGAAGGATGTCTTTGAGAATCGATTAGGAATTGAGATGTAACGTGTCGGCAGTATATATGCTCTTTATATATATATATATATATATATATATATATATATATATATATATATATATATACACTCACATATATACACACACACACACATACGCGCTCGTACATATTCATTTTTTAAATTGTTTTTTTTTTTTTAATTTTATTTCTTATCACTAGTCACGTTTTAGCACATTATAAAGAAAACTTCTAAAAGTGACACATTTGTTTTTGTTTTTAGTATCCAGTCCATGTTACTGGTTAATAAAAACAGTGAATGATTTCTGGTAAATTGGAGCGGAACGAAAGAATTTGTCAATCAGCATGGCTGCCTCGTTGGAGGGAATTCTGTCTCGGCTTCTGCAGCCGGATAATGATGTCATACAGAAGGTATATACTGTATATTAATCGTGTTTAATGAGTATTTATTTATTTACAACAGTTACAGTATTTCGGGACATTGATTCTCTAATAGACATTATTAAATACATATGCCGAGGAATCCAGTAATTTCAGAGTAAATAAATTTAAATTCCATTCCCCTGATTTTCATTTTCACTGGTAATCTGGTAATCCTAGTTTCAGCTTCATAGCAAACGGGTCACCCCACAGATGCTCCGCTCCTATGCCAACGAAAAACAAACGCAGCTCACAGTGTCACGCCATGCACTCAACTCAGAAGCTGGGCGACGAAACTACATACTACATCCTTCCAGTCTACAAAATGGAGCAAAAATGCAACGGCCACCCGTCTGGCAAAAAAAAAAATATTTGCCATGGCTTTAAAAGAAAAAAAAAAGGTGGCCGTGCCTAGCGTCCATTTTGACCGGAAGAATTATATGAGGGTTAATAAACGGTCACCCCAGCAGTACCCTCATTAAAGACATTATTAGCTGGGGAAGGCACTTAGGACATTACATCCACCAGCAGGCGTCGCCCCTACAATGACCTGCCTGCCATCGTTACCGACTGTTCACCCAACAGCCATGGAGTTCTTTGGCACGAAGGAGACACCTTGAACTTGGGTTTCGTACTGCCGACTCCCTACTAAGATGTTATTTTATGTTTTGTTATCACAATTAATGTCACTGCACATTGGGCATACCCATGCGTGCTCAGTTCTCCGAAGCAGCAGCCACTCCAAAGTACTTCTACTAATTGTCCCCATGAGAAGCTGGTTATATTGTCTCCTTTCTCGGCCTCGAAGACGGCAAGTGCCGCAAAGACGTGTCTCATTTTCACTGGGAAGTCTTAGTCTAGATTCTTTAGTCACATTTTTCAAATGCCCTCTACACCAAAAAAAACCCAGCACAGTTAGATAGCTGTAAACAATCTCTTTCCAATGGTACCTCATTTAGCCTTGTATGTCATGTCTGAGCTGAGATATGTAGGTTTTTGTGGAGATGAGATGTAAAAAACAGCTGCTAAAACTTGTGTCTGAGAAACAAGAAGTTTTCTCTGCGCAACCAAACTGCGCAACTTTCGTTTTGACTTTGTTTTCATTGGACAAGATGGCAGACAATTTTTCTAAGACTCAGCCACATAATAGCGATTGCCTGAAAAAATGTCACTGTAAATCTAAACAGCCACGGACAAGAAAGAAATTTTATACACAAATGTAAAATTGGACAGAGAATTCAATTATAACTAGCATTACCAGGGCCAGTTACAGTTAGAGCCTAAAGCCAACCCTGAATACTTATCGCTATTTTCAATCAAACTGATGTAACAGAAAAACAGAGGACGTCCGGCTGTCGTAGACATGCGCTGTTAATCAGGTTCCTTCCCGCCGTTTTCAGCTTTTTATAGTGGGTGAAAATCACACCAATCGCAAAATTTCATGAGAGATTAGGACCCATCCCAAAACCCCAGCCGACATTTGCCAAGCAAGTTTCGAACGGTTTCCATGGTAACAGAAATTGCCAAAAGACCGCCAATTGCCGAACACCGTAGTCGCTACTTAGTCATATTGCCGGATGGTTTAAATACAACACAACCCACCTTCACTAGACTAGAAATTACTTCGTAAAGTCGTAAAGTAACGGTTTTGCTGTGCTCCAATATTACTGTTAATGTTATAATGGCTGTCTCTACTGTGGGGAAAACAAGAACAGACCCAGTCAGGCCAGTCCCACTGCCTACGTCTTAAGCATAAAATAGTCGACAGATCAGAGGCAAGAAACCAACCACTACACATAGACATGTGCACTTCACGTAACAGGCAGGTGCGTTTCTGCAACACAACTGAGTCGAGAAGGACCTGTATTTTATAAAGCAATCAAAAATCCACATTTGGTGGATGACGTGTTCAGTGTCACTGTCACGCTGCTATCCAGCCTTTACTTCCCAGGACATTCACATTACATATATTCAGACTTTACTACCTGTCAGCCGTGCCCTTCATTTAAGGCTGGGTTGACCTGATTAAAAAAAAAGCATGACTTGACCAGGACCAAACTGAATGTCTCATGATCTGCTGGCGAGTGCCTGTCTAGGTGCTACAGTACAGTGGTTCCCTGTCAGTGAAGTAGATACAAAACATATCTCTTAATCTCCACTTAAAGTTTACATTGTAGCTGAACCTAGGATCAGAGGCATTGCAAGATGCAGGGGGGGGGGGGGTGTTGCAAAAATGTTTTTTTTTAAAATGTCTTTGTGTGTAGGAGAAAAAGGGGGGGGGGGGGGGGCAGGAAAGTTTCTGCACAGGGTGCCTCCTGACTTTGCAATGCCACCGAGTGACAGGAAATCCCAAATTTCCCACACTGAGCACTCCTGACCATGCTACACTACTTCACTACTCTCCTGCCTAGGAGTCTACATATAGTCATATATATTTCAATTACCTATCTAAATTAGTAATTATTTACAGGCTGCGCTGGCCCCTAACCTAGTGGTGTGTATGTATATATATATATATATATATATATATATATATATATATATATATATATATATATATATATATATATATATATATATATATATATATTGTGTGCATGTTAATTTGTCATTGAACCATTGCTTTTGCATTAAACATTATTAAACTTGATAAACAGGCCACTCAAGACCTGAAGGAAGCTTTCAAAAACCCGGACACTTTGCAGAACCTGTGCCATATTCTGGGGACCTCAACACAGCCTCAGGTAAACACTTGTTGAACAATCTGGCCATGTAAGCCTTCATTAGGGTTTTTTCCCCTCCACCTCCTACAGTGACCTGGACCTCAGCGATTTTTTGGGGGGCAGGTTGTGTGTGGGTGATTAAACCTTCCTATGTGCTGTGTTAATTCTTCTTTCTTCTTCGCATTCACCAGCTGTAAACTCTGGCGGAAAGTTCTGGCTGTTCATCCACTTCTGGTCTGCAGTCCTGTTCCAGAACCTGAGTGTTGCTTGTGCATCCGTTTTACAGATCTGACTCATTTGTATGCAGACTGCTAGTTCCTTGCCCTTCAGGCAGATGCAGTCCGACTTCGAAGGACACTGTGTTGATATATGACTCTGGGATCAAACCAGCTACCCAAACAAGTGCCAGGCAGTTTTCAAATTTTTTTTTTTTTTTAGAAATTGTTTGGGAAGGAAAGGCACTGTTGACCCCACCTCATATAGTAAGGCAGAACAGACACTTCACGTGGCAGTATTAGCTTTTAAATAACCTTCACCCTTAAATGAAGGTCACTGCCCTCCTCACTCCCTTCCCATTCACATCAATTCTTTCTCATCACGTTTACGAGCTGTAGATTCCAGCGGAAGGTTCTGATTGTTCGTTCGTCCACTTCTGGACTGTAATCTTGTTCCTGAGCCCGAGTTTTGCATGCACTCAGTTTTACGGATCGGACATATTTGTATGCAGATGGTTGGTTTCTTGCCTCTCAGACAGATGCACTCCAACTTCAAAGGAAGCCCCCACAGTTAGTCGACTCTTACGACACGCTTGTTGGGGAGGCAGCGGGTTTATGCAGCCCCAAAACCCACACAGGGAATAACATCTATTCAGTTTGTTCCCTTGATTTACCGGGAAGGCTAACCCGGTCAATAAATGCCCGCAGAAGTCAGATATGTTGGCCGAAAAGTGCAAATATCGCAGCCATGCTGTAAACGGACACAACGCATATTACATTTTTGGATGAACGCAGAAGAAAAAGAAGTCCCCTTGATTTAAGCTTAAGGTTTGGATTACGGGATTTTGATGACTTCGCCGTATGTAAGTTTCAGGGCCCTCGTACTCGTGGGGGAGGGGGGTAATCGACCACTTGCTTCTATAACAAGTACATCATACAAGGTGGCTAATTAAGGAAGTGTCTTTCGAAATCAGAGTGTATCTGCCTGATAGCAAGGAACCAACAGTCTGCATAAAAATACCTGTCAGGTACCAATTGGTGATGCGCCAACTGTATTTCTGGGTGTGATAAAGGTTACTTTATGTCACTCAGTTCAGCATCTGCTAATTTCCTGCCATCATCTTGTAACCCCTGTCTTGCAGATTCGTCAGTATGCTGCGGTCTTGATCCGGCGGAAAATACACAAGTTAAAGCAGTGGACACAACTTGATGAGAGCATTAAAAATAAGTAAGTAGATAATACGCACATATACTAGAGAATGTTTCTTCTGTTCATTCTCTCTGCCAATGAGTAGAAGTAAAGTACCCTTTTCCATGCCTTCCGGCATTTTCAGTATAAATGGCTAGACCTATATTATATATAGACCAACTGGCACTTTGTGGGTGATGTGGTCAGCATCATGTTGACCGCCTTTTCTTCCCAGGGCTGTACCAGGTACCCACTCAAGGCTGGGTCGACCTGGGAGGCAAGGTCATTCTCCCTGCCTGTGGTTTTCAGAAGACTGGTGCAACGCATTTCCTACACTTTTTTGTACAGCTTGGATTCCTTTGAAATACCAACCAGCCAAACCTGGCATCTAATAATAAACCTGTCCCAAATTAGGACACCTTTTTAGAGACAAACATTGTTCTTTAGCCACATAATGAGAATAGAGACATTGGAAAACATCGTGACAACTGGAAAGATCAGTGGGAAAAGGGGTAGAGGCAGACCAGGAGAGATGATGCTAGATGGGCTGAAACAATGGTATGGAGGGATATCATCAAGAGAGCTGTCCCAGGCAACCAGGGATACTATTTTAAAATAGAATCAGTTAGCTTCACATGAACTGAAATGACAAGTGGATGTTGCAGCCAGAAAGCCTTCATCAGCACATTACAGAAATCTACAAACTACTAGTATAAACAAGAACATTTAAAATCACTTAAGTGAAGTATCTCTGTGAAAAATCACATTTCTGCCTGGCCAGTAGAATGCCTGACACATGTGTAGCCACCGGAAATAAATACTGACCAGAAAAAGCTGCAAACAACACGGGCTGTAAGTCAATAATATTAGATAAAACTGTTGTGGATGTTAAATTCTCCAGGTGAATTGACACCTTTGAGATGGATAAGTTGGTTCTGAATCATGAATCAAAACTACTAAGAGATGATGAATCACAAAGAGCACTGTCATGTAAATACAATGGAAGCAAAAGAGGTTGCCTACGCAGGCGATGGATCTAACATCTGAGGCTATGAATACCATCTAAATGGCACACACCAACATTCGCACCCAATGCCTATTCAAAACCTGACGCTGAAAGGCAGAACAGGGCCTAAAAAGAAAAAAATTAAGAAAAATAGCATGCTCAGCTAAAAATATTCTGTAGGTGATATGACCAAGTGTTGGTGAATGTAACTTGGGACTGTCATGGAAGGTACCTGGGTTTGAATCCTAAGTAAGGTTGAGGTGTTTCCCCCCCCCCCCCCCCCCCCCCCTTTTCCCTTTTTTTGGGGGGGACGACAGAAAACAAATTCCTAACCTTCACAGTCCATGACGACAACACTAGTCACAATGCTCTAAATCCACGGGTTCAAAGTCACTCCTCAGTCTACTCCAGAAGAATGGTAAATGCAGAGGGTAATGGCAGTAAATGCTCTGTCTTGTTTTCTGTAAGGGATGCAGCAGTGGTAAAGTAGTCCTATAGCAGATAGTCCTTTGGAGGCAGAACATGTTTGGCTGTCACGTGTTCTAGGTCGTATCTAATGAGGTGTGGTGACCAGTTCACTTCCTTGCCACCTTTGCTTTCCAGAAGATTCTGAATATTGATGAAATATATATATATACATTCTTAACACTCTTTCAGTACCAGCAGACACTTGAATTGATTATAAATATTTTTCTTGTTTCATTTACTTAAAATAGATTATCTATATTTGCAATGTTGTCTCTAATATGAACTTCACTGTCTTTTATAATTCACTCAGCGACCCATAAAGTTAAACTTTCAGTTTAATAATAAATCGACTGAAAGAGTTAACAGACTCCAGAGCCCTGTTATTTCAGAAAAAAGTATTCTTGCTTCTGTTGTGGTTTGAAACTGTACCACACTCGGCATTTATCAACCTATTCATTATCCCTGTGTGTTCAGTGGCCTATTTAAGGAGCTCACTTTAAAAAAAAATAACCCCACCCACACCCCGTTTTAACAAGCAGCTAATCAGTATTTTGCTGAAGTCCGATGTGTTGGGTCAGTCAAAAGGTGCAGATATTGCAGCCTAGCTGTAAACTGTACCAACTGCCTTTTTGAGACCAAGCACAGAAAACATATTATCCACTTTATCTTGCAGAGAATTGTATGGGGTTGCATGAAACCTAGAGCCATATCAGATCTATAAACCGTCTCTTGCAGCCTATCGCCATGTGAGATGTACAGTGTCTCTTTGAGCCAAGGATCATTAACTTAGATAGCTGCTATTGTGCCGTAGTCTCATCATTGTTTACCTCATGAATTTGAGCAGGAAGACTAACAAACTGAGAGTCAGACAGTTTTATATTTTCTTCATTGTGACTGTTTTTCTTCTTCTACAGCATCAGAGAAAACATACTTCATCTGCTTGTACATGAGCAGGAGTAAGTTGATCAAGTTACTGTCTGTGTTTTTTGTTTTCTCTCTTGTGTTTACTGTCTGTGTTTTTGTTTTCTCTCTTGTGTTTACTGTCTGTGTTTTTGTCTCTCTTGTATTTACTGTCTGTGTTTTTGTTTTCTCTCTTGTGTTTACTGTCTGTGTTTTTGTCTCTCTTGTATTTAATGTCCGTGTTTTTGTTTTCTCTCTTGTATTTAATGTCCGTGTTTTTTTTTCTCTCTTGTATTTGTCTGATTTTTATTTTCTCCCTTGCATTTTCTCTAGTGTTTATTGTTCTTTGCTGTCTGTTCTTGTTATATTTCTCTTTGCTGCTCATGTTGCCTAGGATAACGTTGACTTGAATCGGTTGGCTGATGTGCGGGATATGGTTACAGTTACTCCCACGTTTTGAGTGGGATAACGTTTACTTGAACTGTTTGTTGGGTTTGTGGTATAGAGTTGAGGTGACTCCTCCTACATGTTGCCTGGGATAAAGTTGATATTTGTTTGAAATGTGGGATAGAGAGTTGCTTTCACGGTCACATGTTGTGTGGACTCTAGCTGTTTGAGGTGTGGAATAGAGTTGCTTTCACAGTCACATGTTGTTTGGTCTAATGCTGTGTCGACTCTAGCTGTTTCAGGTGTGAAAAAGAGTTGCTTTCACGTTCACATGTTGTGTAGTCGAGCTATTTCAGGTGTGGAATAAAGTTGCTCTCATAGTCACATGCTGTGTGGGCTCTAGCTGTTCCAGGTGTGGAATAGAGTTGCACTAACAGTCATGTGCTGTTGGACTCCAGCTGTTCACATTAGATGCCATAGAATGGAACCTTTGCATACCCAGGACTGAGTACCAGCTTCTAGAACTGTAAGAGATAAATGTTCTAATCACTTGATCAACTGCATTAATGAGTAAATATAAAATATGATAATTATACCTCTAATTTAGGAAGAGTCCACGGGCTGCAATCTCTCAGATTATTGGAGTAATAGCCCGACATGACACCCCCAACAACCAATGGCCTGCTCTGTTTGAGTTCCTGGTCCGTTTTCTGAAAGATGAAGATCCCAGCAAAAGAGAGGTATCTTGAATATTACAGTACATGTTGTCGTTTTTTCAAAACAAAAATTATTAAAGGGTACTATGCTCTTCAACCTTTACCTGACACTATTTGGGGTTTATGGTGTGCATAACTCTATCACAAAATGAATGGTTCATTGAGGTTATATCTACGTGGCAAAGTGCTGCCATTATCCTCATTCTATGAAGTTTGTACGTTCAGTTTTTACACTTCATCCTTCGGTTTACAGGTGGTACACATATGTGTCAGACATACTTGGGATCTGTGGAATTAATTCTTTGTGCACCACTCAGTTCTTTATTAATATCCTACCTCAAACAGGGAAAATCCACAAGTCATGTGATGTCTAATATTTCAGGAACTTGTAGATAGACTGCATGCAGTTGTGGGACCTAGGCTGCACTCTCATGGGATGTAGGTAGGTTGGGGTTAGGGCCAGTTCTAGATGTTTTGGGGTCGTTAGAGCATCAGAAAGCCAGGAAACCCAGTCTTACCACCCTCTAAAATGTTGGACTGTCCTGTGACGTTATTTGGTGAAGGATATTAATAAAGCACCTACCACTCTTGCAGGTGACCAGCTGTTTTGCCAGGTGTGGTATAACCTGCCACAATAAAGTTGATCCTAAGTATTCCCTGCATGCATTAGACTTTCTTCTTCTTCTTCTTGTTGTTCACCGGCTGTGAATTCCGGCGGTAAGTCACGGTTGTTCGTCCAAAATGGACTTTTGGCTTTTACCTTGACCTGAGTTTTGCGTGTACATCCGTTTTACTGGCTTATTTGTTTGCAGTACTCGTTCCCCGCCTCTCAGGCAGATGTACTCCAACTTCGGAGGAAGATGTCAAGCCTATTTCTAGGTTGACTGTGGCCATTGTTTTGTGTGGGTCAAGATGTTGCCTTATTTGTGTGGTGTCCTCTTTGACTTTTAACTAGTGTGGCCCCCGGCATGTCGTCCTTAAGGCAGCTCTATGTAGAGTTTTCAGCCCTCAAGGGAAGGCAGGGGCAGATCATGGGCATTCCCCGCCATCCAAGGAGGCTTCCATAAATGCAGAGCCGACACATGATGCTCTGGTTCTGGGCTCACCCAAGGAATCGTCACGTCCTGCCCATGACTGCTTAACCTCACAACCGTGTATTGAGCTTCCCGCGCTACAAGGCTGCGCTCTCCGGAGATCAGCGGGGAGCAGCCCGCAGGTCTAGGACGTTTGTGGCCACACAAATAGGTACATTCTTTTTCATCTTACGTTAGACACCTTTAACATTGTTTCAGCTGTGCCCTTAGCACGACAGAATGGGGAAGCAAAATGCGTCAGGCGTGGCTTCACCTGTTTGGTCCCAACACTCGGGCGAGTTGGACCAGTGGATACGGACATTCAGACTTTTCCTAATCGGTACGAGTTATGATCGTCGGACTTTGAGCTTGCATGTGTTGCCGTGGGGTGTAACTTTGTCGGACATTATTTTCAAGCCAGCATATGAATTGTTGCTGCCATGGTGTACCTCAGCGCAGTGACGACGACACTGAGGATTGACAGAGGATGTACGTAGGTGGGATCTTGCTGCGAGAAGTCGCCCACAAGAGATGTTACTCGTCTTGGCTGCGGGTAAATCTCTCGGTCAGGGTTGAGTCTCAGCAGCACAGTTTTCCATTCGCTCCCGAATTTTAACCAAGAGTTGTCATTTGATGGTACATTTAGCAAGCAGTCCTTGAGTTTTGTTACTTTTCACCCATGCGTTTGGGGGCGGGCTGGTGAGAGCCAGAAAGGACTCTACACCTCTGGGGGCCGCCAGCTCCGAGATCCCCTGCCAACTCTGTTAATGCTCATTTGAGACATTATCCGTGGCGCACGACGGGGACGTGCAACAGGAGTCTTGCATGAGGTTCCGTAAAACCAGAACAGTGAAGTACTGGCGCCCGAGTGGGGTACGGAATATCTCCTTATACACATCACATCAGACTTAACTTCCCCTCATGCCTGTGACCGAAATCACCGCGCCACATTAGACTTTCTGATTGATGCTGTTCTCATATTTGAACTGCATGTTGTATAGGTTTTATTGGCTTTTATTATACTTTTAAAATAATGAAATCAGAGACTCAGATAAGTAAATAGGATGAGCATTCAGAAAGTCATGCATGACATTTCCCTCCAGCAAATAATGAAATTTGAAACAGGGAATATCGCACACTTCAAATTTTAAAAGTCAGTATTTTATGAATGAAATGGTAACTTGTTCTGGCAAAAAGACATCTGGGTTAATCCATTGAAATACAGCATGAAGACATTGTGTGTTACAAATGAGTTGTGAATAAAATTTGAGCTCTTGAAAAAATTGTTTGAATAATCATATGTATGCTGTATATGAAAGTTGTGCAGTCAATAGGAGCACTGATGGTTACTGGGGTCAAAGAGTTACAACTTCAGAAAGAGGAGAGACAGACCTAAGAATGTTATTCATGCTGTAAAGAAATGCCAAAGTAAACTGGAAAAACCTGATCCTAGATGTGCATGCTGTTGTTTTACATTTGCAGTATGTGATAGAAATGGACAGAGATTATATAGAAAATTATGATGTGTAAAGGACATTAGTTATATTGTTGGTGAATTTTGGACATATTGCATTATTAGTTTGCAAGAAAAAAATTTTGAAATATTACTTTCTAGTGTCCTCATATAGCATTGTTTTCAGTTAATATTAGTTGCTAGTCGCGTGCCAGATCATAGGCTCCCCCCAAAAAAACTCTTCTATGGTGAGCTGCAAAATGGGAGGCGTTCCCAAGGCCGGCAAGGAAAACGCTTTAAGGACACCTTGAGATCTTCGCTCGAGGCGTTGGGGATGAGTGGCACCGGTTAGGAGGCTGCCTCTCAAGACCGAAATGTATGACGTGTGGCTCTACACAAAGGCGCGGCTACATGTAAAGCAAACAGAACAGCAAGACTGATTAAGAAAAGGATGGACAGAAAGGCAACTGCAGGAGATCCCCTCCCTGGCACAATGCTCATTCACTGTCCTCACTGTCCGGGCGCTTTTCAGGCCCGCATCGGCCTCATCAGTCATCTTCATACTCATACTTGATGAAAAATAGTGGTCATCATCATCTTGATGGACAACAACACACAGTTGCTAGTTTAAGGAAGCAGATGCAAATTTTTTTTTGCTACAAGAATTAAGAATTGTTAAAAATGATGTGCTGACATTGATTTTGTCCTAGACTGGGATGGTTGTGCTGACAAGTGTGACCTCGGTTGCTGCTGAGCAAATGAAGCCTCACATGGTGTCCCTTCTGAATCTTCTGGCAGATTCTCTAGGAGACAGAGTCAATATTGAAGTTGCCTATTTGTCCGTAAAGTAAGTTACCACACGTATACATGCAAACATCTTTCATTTTTAGCATACACCTAGTGCCAAATACAGCCTCCCGAAAAAAATGAAGAAAGCAGTAAGAGGTCTCTGTGGTGATTTGCCTCGGGCTCTGAGGCTTGTGAATTCATTACAACTGTTTGGTTTGGTTCACACATGTAGTTTTTACGGAGATCCCTGGGGTTGTCAACGTAGCTAGACTTTTTGTATGATGATCTTTGTAGGCGGGTAACCATTCTGCCTAGAGTTACTGGGCTGTATAGGTTAAAACGTAGGCGTAGTGAAGTCAGTCAACCCTCTTGACTTTATGTAAATATGAAACCATAAATTTTTTATGCCTCATATACTCATGGTAACATTTTCTTTCAATCTGGGACCTCAGTGTCATCCGCCTTCAAATACATTGTTGAGTTCTTCTCATCGATCTCTGGCTGTAAACTCCACCAGAAAGTTCTGCTTGGTCGTCTGCTTCTGGGCTTCTATCTAGTTTCAGAACTTCAGTTTTTCCTGCAAATCCATTCTTCACCTCTCAAACAGATACACTTCGACTTTGAACTAAACACCCATAATTAGTTGCTTTTTAGGCTTGTGCGCTCGGGCCTCAGAGCCTGGAAAGCCAGGTATTCGAGACTGGCACTGAAGCCCAGAATCTGCAGGGGTGTATTCAAGTGTTGTGGTTCAGCAGAGAGCATGCATACTGGCTGAATCGGTAGATAACATTATGTCTACTTGTTAAACCCTTTTGCTCCAGAGACCCTTCGGCAAAACCGCCCAGCTCCTGGGAATTCCATACAAAAGTCCTCTAAACAACCATTTTACAACGGTCGCTAAAAATTAAAATTATGCGTGTGTATCATCATCATGTGCCTTGTCGACTGGCGTGGGCGATCATGCCTCTCCACAATCTTAGATCTTCTGCAGTATGTATCAGATCGTGTGCTGAAACACCTCCATGCAATGCAACAAGACTTCAAGAATCTTCTCTCTTTGTCTTTCTCTATCCCTCCTTCCACAGATCTTTCCAGTGGTCACAACAGAGTGTGTGTTTGTGTGTGTATATATAAAAAAAAAAATTGATATATACACACACATATATATATATATATACACACATATATATATATATATATATATACACACACATATATATATATATATATATATATATATATATATATACACACACACATATATATATATATATATATATATATATATATATATATATATATATATATATATATATATATATATATATATATATATATATATATATATATATAAATTTTTGTGGGTGCAAAACATGGAGCACAATTATTAGACACAGTTTTTTTTTAAATCTAACTAGATTTCCTTACTCTCTGCTAAAATATTTGTATGTCTTGACTGATTTCTTCAGAATTTTAACATCAAGGATACTGCTAGAAAATAATTGTGTCAAAATTGCTTTAAAATAGCTATTTTGTTTACAGAACACACACACTCCCCCATCCCGCCATGCTATATTTAGAAAATATTTTTCTGACCTCATAAATTCTGCGCAGTGCAAATATAGGCAGCATTTACACTGTTGGATATTTTGGGTTCATGGTTTCATGGCACAAAACAGCTGCAGTAGTTCTGTGTTAAGAGACTCCAACCTAATGTCAAAATACTAAATTTTTTTTTTTCCAGAAATTTTTAAAAACTAATGTATCTGCACCTCTAATGTTTTTATTTTTTTTTTATTACAGAGCAATGACAGATTTGATCTTTTATATCGGGGATGATGAAATGGTAACTACAACAGTTTTGTAATTGCCTTATTTATAAATTGCAGTTTTATTCATAAATTGTTTATTTATTCATATATTGCTGTTTATTCATATCTTTTTTCCCCATAAATTGCCAATGTTTTATTCATGTGTTGCTATGTTTTATTCATATATTGCTATGTTTTATTCATATATTGCTGTTAGCTAGTTGCATTTGTAACCTTTTTTTTTTCTTCTGCAAATGCCTACTTTTATTTGCATTAAAAACATTCTTGTAATTTTTCTGTTTTTTGCAGAAACACATCCAGAATGTTGTACCTAAAGTTTTGGAAGTTGTCCAGATTTTGGCAGTCCATGATGAGGTACCAGTTTGTCATTCTCAGTGTTGTGTCTTGAGTTTGTAATATGTTAATCTCACTTTTTTGTGTCTTCTCATAATATGTAAACATAATCTATTCTGCTGTGGTTATTTGTCAGATTAACAAAAATGTGTGTGAGTTTCAGCTTGTGTCCTTTGGTAATCGTCTCTTCAGTTTGCTCTTTTCAGATAATTATCAATGTGTGTCTGTCTTCCCCTTTTCACTTTGTCTTTCCATCCTTTGTTCAGCACATCTTTTTTTTTTTTTTTTTATTGTTTTTATTTTATTAATTCACTAGATTTTTGATGTGTGTGTTTCTGTTTCAGGAAAAAGCGTGTGTTGCCCTGGAGTTTTTTGATGAGCTTTTAGAGTCCGAAGTCGCAATCATTGTACCACACCTGAAACCTTTGCTCCAGTACTGTCTACAGGTGAGTGGTATGCATCTTTACTTATGAAAAGGTTAATCTTATGGGAACAATGAATATTTAAAAAAAAAAAAGGTCGACAAGACATTCACAAGTAAACCTTTCATTACAGGGACAGTAAAAAGAGAAAAATTCACCTGCGAATTCAAGGGTCGTGGGTTCAAGTCTGGGAAGCAGGATTTTTCCAAAAATTACCTTGGCTGCCTGGTTGACCCAGCTTTACATGGATACCAGGTAGAGTCCTAGGAAGTAAAGGCGGCTGACATGGTGGTCACGACATCACCAAGCGAATGCTGATTGGTCTTTAAAATATAGATTTAGTCCTGTATGCCCAATACGCCAGAAGGAGGTCCTTTACTTTTACTGACCCTTTAAAAGCTATCTGTAAATGTAAATTTGACACCTTTGTTTTTAAGTTTGTGCCTCATGTCTTTCCTGCAGACGGCAAGCAACAAGGATTACACTGATGCACTGAGAGTCAAAGCTATGTCATTTGTAGCTTCTCTAGTTCGCCTCAAGAAAAAGGTGCGTTTTTTTTCTCCATTTAACTGATTTCTTCTTTTTAGCGTTCACTGGCTGTAAACCCTGGGAGGAAGTTCTCTTTGTTCGTCCACACCTGGTCTTTGGTTTTGATCCAGAATGTGAGTTTGCATGCACATCCGTTCTATGAATCTGACTTATTTGCATGCAGACTATTGGTTCCTTGCTTCTCAGGCAGATGCATGCCTACTAATTTAGAGGTGGGACTAAAACAGTGAAAGACTGGTCAGTGTAAAATCTGGTCAGCTCGACTTGTCTCTTCCTCTGCTCTTTACCCCTCATTGGAGCATAAGCCCTCAACCAGCTTGGGTCAGGATCATATATTTGTTTTCTTTGTTTTTTCTTCAGTCAAGCCATATCTCTTCTGTCTCCAGATGTTTGTTCAGCATTTCTACTTTTTGTCGATGGCTCACATGCATACCTCAGTACAGTTTCTATTATGTATGTGAGTGTGTGCGTTAGTGCACATACACTCCATATTTTTTCTGTTTATAAAATTGTTTTCTCAAATTATTGCTGTTTAAAATTAGGGGTCCTTTAATATTCCAAATGGTTTATACTATTTCTTAATTTTGACTTTTCAAATGTTGACCTCCCTATACACTGAACAAATATGGTACATTTTTTTTTTTTTGCCACTGCTACTTTCTCCAACTCTTATGAGTGTTCCAAATTCACTGTACGGATTGATTTCAAAATTGACAATGTTTTATATCCAGTGAATAATATGTCAGATCAGTAAATCAGATGTACAGAAAACACTCAGATTCTGGAACAAGACTACAGTCTAGAGTTGGACAAATAACCAGAACTTTCTGTAGGAGTTTACAACAGGTGAATGCAAAAAAGAAGAAGTTTCAAGGAGGACACTAAATGGTTCCGCCAGCTAAGTGACATGAAACATCACATGGTGGAGCCAGCTAAGTGACATGAAACATCACATGGTGGAGCCAGCTAAGTGACATGAAACATCACATGGTGGAGCCAGCTAAGTGACATGAAACATCACATGGTGGAGCCAGCTAAGTGACATCACCTTGCTTCCTTGTTTTGTTTAGACTGTCATAAAACATCTCATAGTGGAGCCAGCTAAGTGACATCACCTTGCTTCCTTGTTTTGTTTAGACTGTCATAAAACATCTCATAGTGGAGCCAGCTAAGTGACATCACCTTGCTTCCTTGTTTTGTTTAGACTGTCATAAAACATTTCATGGTGGAGCCAGCTAAGTGACATCACCTTGCTTCCTTGTTTTGTTTAGACTGTCATAAAACATCTCATGGTGGAGCCAGCTAAGTGACATCACCTTGCTTCCTTGTTTTGTTTAGACTGTCATAAAACATTTCATGGTGGAGCCAGCTAAGTGACATCACCTTGCTTCCTTGTTTTGTTAAGACTGTCATAAAACATCTCATGGTGGAGCCAGCTAAGTGACATCACCTTGCTTCCTTGTTTTGTTAAGACTGTCATAAAACATCTCATGGTGGAGCCAGCTAAGTGACATCACCTTGCTTCCTTGTTTTGTTAAGACTGTCATAAAACATCTCATGGTGGAGCCAGCTAAGTGACATCACCTTGCTTCCTTGTTTTGTTAAGACTGTCATAAAACATCTCATGGTGGAGCCAGCTAAGTGACATCATCTTGCTTCCTTGTTTTGTTTAGACTGTCATGAAACATCACATGGTGGAGCCAATACTTCAGGTTCTGTTTCCTATCATCTGTGAGGATGACGAAGAGGAAGATGATGATGAAGAAGAGGCGGAGTCTCATAGCCCTTCACAGTATGCCGTTCAGGTAAGCAGACGGTAATTTCAAGTTGTTTGTGAGTTGTCTTAAATTTTTCAGTTTATTTATATCAGTGTTCAAATTGCTAGGCACTTCATTTTGTTTTATAGATTTTCATCTCATTGATAACATCATACAAGTTAATAAACATATCAGGTTGTTTTGAGTTCCAAAGATTTCTAGGTTATTGATATCAACATTCAAGTTAATTCACTGCCAGGTTGTTTTGAGCTCCATATATTTTCGGATTATTGACATTAACATTCAAGTTAATAGAAAGTCAGGTTGTTTGAGTTCCATAGATTTCTAGTTTATTGATATCAACATTCAAGTTAATCCAGTTTCAGATTGTTTGAGTCCCATAGATTTCCAGTTGGTTGATGTCACTGCTGAAGATTAGTAAATATTTTAGGCTTTTGGTGTTTTTCGCAATTTCCTGACACAGTTCCTGCCCAGGTGATATGATTATCTATACAGATGCCTCTGTGTTCAGAGGCAGACAAAGTACATGGGGGTTCGTAGCAAAAGTGAATGGACGTAGCTTGGTGCAGCGAAGCCTGTCATATAATAACACAACATCTAGTTTGAGAATGAAGGTGGAGGCAGTCACTGCTACCTTCCGCTGGCTTGAGAATCAGCTGTACACACATACCATGATTGTAACTGACTCAGAGCATGTTAAGATAGATGAAAACAGGCATGCTCCGTGCAGAGTGGCAAGCATCACTTCAGAGGTTTTCAGGTAGTTAGCACCCTCCCTTTAGATATATTTTTCCAGGTGATGCTGGTATTTTGGGAAATGAGCAGGCAGATAGACTGGCTGGTTCTGCACCGCTTGGTGGTGCACTGATGTTTGACTAGCTGGATGTTGTAAGGGCTTTTTAGGAGCAAATGAACAGTGCGGAGACACAGATAGATCATTTTTTTTCTGAGGAGTATGGCACTGTAAGAAGTTACAGGGGGATCTGGCTGGCGCTCAACACCCAGGTGAAAGGCAAGGCAGAAATACAATCAGACAGTTACTGGCGCCATCGAAATTGGACCTCTTTGCTTGCTGCTGCTGAAGATGGGCACAGAGCGCTTATGGGGGTGTCCTGAGTGCTGTGGTGTTGATTCTTAATTCAACCGTTTCATGATTCATATATCTGAGAACTGCGTCAAGTGAGAAGAATGACTCATATTCCTAAACCAGTCTTGGTTGTTCAGTTAGTGAATTCTCTAAAAGACAAAATTCTTTTGTTAGTGAAAAGCTAACACAGTCACCTGTGTAGGGACTGGTGGCCAGAGTACTGTGCTTCTTGTTGCTATTGTGGTTAATGTTTAGAAAGGCTACGTCCAAAACAGCAGATTTTTTTTGCATGTATATATTGCGCGCCCCCCTCCCTCCCCTCCAGTCAGTCATAGATTTCTGTTTTTATCACCTAGCAAAAAGCTGATTGGCAGGTTTATTTTGTATTGATATTATTGTAGGTTCTTTCCTAGTTGCTTCCTGGGTGTGTGTGTTTTTTTAAAATTCGGATCCATTATCTTATTTATTCAGAACTCCACACGTCTGCCATGAACATGGTAACTTCTTTCAGATTCTTGTAATTCTTCTTGTTTCTGGTAATTTCAGTTTTCCAATACAAGTTTTTCCTCGGGTATGCCTCAAGAAAGCCAGCAGTTCTCTTCAGGCCTAAAAATCGATAATCTAACCTTGGCAACATATATGTTTTGAAGAAGTGGATGAAGTGTCCTCAGATTTCCTCATGAAATAGATGGAAGTTTGTGTCCTCGCTAACTTATTTACTGTTGGTTTCAGGTGATTGATACAATGGCCCTTCATCTGCCACCAGAGAAGTTTTTGAAGAAAGTGGTGAGTTCAACTGCTTTTTTAATTAATTCTGCCGCACTGTCACATTGTGTTACACTAGATAGTAAAGTATCAGCATTTATGGCAGGATTGCTGCCATCGAGAACTTCATAGCCACAAAACTGCGAGTAAAGTACACTTCTCACATGTTCACCCTGAGTCACCTAAATGTGTGCCCTTAACCACTTGGTTAGCTTTTGTGTTTTTTGCACATTAAAATTTTGTTGTTAAAATTATTTGTCACTTGATATTCCTATTAAATGTTTTGTTATTTGCACATAACCTGTTCTATAGATACAATACCACTGCCGTATAAAAGATAAGTGTTTAGGAGTTCTGAATGTAAGACTGGCATGTGTGCCTGTGTTGTGACCATCTGACCATAATGTTAGTTCATTCAACTCTCTACATAACAAGAACCAAATCACTTTAAATGGGTAAATGGTTGTGTATTTATGTTCGTGAGTGTTTTGCCCACTGTTGAAAATTGTTTAAAAAATGTAATCTGACTCGTATTTTTCAATATTTTTTAGACACCAATGGTAGAAGTCTGTTTGAAAAGTATTGAACCATCCCATAGACGAGCTGCCTACCTGGTCATGGCCGTGGTTGTGGAAGGCTGTGGAGATTACGTCATGAACAAGTGAGCTGTTTCCCCCCCTGGTGTCATTGTCTGTCTGTGTGTGTATTGTTTCATGCAGAACTTCTCTTGCTGACTTACTGTTGATGGATGAGGTGAATCAGTTGACAGTAGTCCACTCGGGGAATTCCCACACCTGCTCCGTCACCGTTCTCAGCAGCCAACAAAGAGTTGACATGCTGTGAGGTAGAGGTGATTCAATATCCACTCATGTCTCTTTGTTGTTGTTTACTTTTCTGTCATAGCAATTTGTATTGCCTCTTATCATTTCTTTAGTGAACTAACTGCCTTCTCTGTGTTGATTGTCCCCCCCTGACTTACCTTATCATATATTTCTGATATTTTACTGTATTGAATGTCCTCCCCTGACTTACCTTATCATATATTTCTGATATTTTACTGTATTGAATGTCCTCGACTGACTTACCTTATCATATATTTCTGATATTTTACTGTATTGAATGTCCTCGACTGACTTACCTTATCATATATTTCTGATATTTTACTGTATTGAATGTCCTCGACTGACTTACCTTATCATATATTTCTGATATTTTACTGTATTGAATGTCCTCGACTGACTTACCTTATCATATATTTCTGATATTTTACTGTATTGAATGTCCTCGACTGACTTACCTTATCATATATTTCTGATATTTTACTGTATTGAATGTCCTCGACTGACTTACCTTATCATATATTTCTGATATTTTACTGTATTGAATGTCCTCTCCTGTCTTACCTTATCATATATTTCTGATATTTTACTGTATTGAATGTCCTCGACTGACTTACCTTATCATATATTTCTGATATTTTACTGTATTGAATGTCCTCGACTGACTTACCTTATCATATATTTCTGATATTTTACTGTATTGAATGTCCTCGACTGACTTACCTTATCATATATTTCTGATATTTTACTGTATTGAATGTCCTCTCCTGTCTTACCTTATCATATATATATTGATATTTTACTGTATTGAATGTCCTCGACTGACTTACCTTATCATATATTTCTGATATTTTACTATATTGAATGTCCTCGACTGACTTACCTTATCATATATTTCTGATATTTTACTGTATTGAATGTCCTCTCCTGTCTTACCTTATCATATATTTCTGATATTTTACTGTATTGAATGTCCTCGACTGACTTACCTTATCATATATTTCTGATATTTTACTGTATTGAATGTCCTCGACTGACTTACCTTATCATATATTTCTGATATTTTACTGTATTGAATGTCCTCGACTGACTTACCTTATCATATATTTCTGATATTTTACTGTATTGAATGTCCTCTCCTGTCTTACCTTATCATATATTTCTGATATTTTACTGTATTGAATGTCCTCGACTGACTTACCTTATCATATATTTCTGATATTTTACTGTATTGAATGTCCTCGACTGACTTACCTTATCATATATTTCTGATATTTTACTGTATTGAATGTCCTCGACTGACTTACCTTATCATATATTTCTGATATTTTACTGTATTGAATGTCCTCTCCTGTCTTACCTTATCAAATATTCTCTTACATTTCTGATATTTTACTGTATTGAATGTCCTCTCCTGTCTTACCTTATCAAATATTCTCTTACATTTCTGATATTTTACTGTATTGAATGTCCTCTCCTGTCTTACCTTATCAAATATTCTCTTACATTTCTGATATTTTACTGTATTGAATGTCCTCTCCTGTCTTACCTTATCAAATATTCTCTTAACATTTCTGATATTTTACTGTATTGAATGTCCTCTCCTGTCTTACCTTATCAAATATTCTCTTACATTTCTGATATTTTACTGTATTGAATGTCCTCTCCTGTCTTACCTTATCAAATATTCTCTTACATTTCTGATATTTTACTGTATTGAATGTCCTCGACTGACTTACCTTATCAAATATTCTCTTATATTTCTGATATTTTACTGTATTGAATGTCCTCTCCTGTCTTACCTTATCAAATGTCCTTAGTGTTGTAGTCTGTGGTACTTTTGTAATGTAGTCTATTTACAGTACTCTTATATATTAATCTATAGTACTCTATGTTTTCCTTATAAACTATCCTCCTGTGTGTAGAGTATTGACTGTCCTCTGATATTTTATGGTAATGACAGTCCTCTTGTTTTATTTTTCTGGAAAAATTTTTTAGGTGAGTTTAAAAAAAAAGTCATTTGTCCATGTTTTTCATGTAATCATCGGTCACTGTTCCTTGATACAGAATGTTGCCTCAGATGTTACAGATGGTCTGCCAGGGGTTGAATGATCCCTCTCATCTTGTCAGAAACTCTGTACTGTTTGCAGTTGGCCAGTTTTCTGAGCATTTGCAGGTAGGTTGATTTATATAGATTTCCACATGACAGTGTTTATGGAAAGGATTATTGGGTTGCTAGCTTCAGGCCTCAGAAAGGAAGTGTCTGAGAAAGGCAGTCAGAGTGACTAGAAGGGACCAAGTTCCAAACCAGACAATTTGTCATGATCTTGAGGCCTTACAAACTTGAGTGGGTCAGTCACAGTTAAATGGTTTGGACATGTATTCAGCATGGGAGAGAATCAGCAGTCATGGGAGGCCAACAAACAGAGAACCAGGGCAACCCAGGATTTGCTGGGGAGACAACATCTGACAATCCCTGACTGAGGACTGGAATGGAATAAAACCAAAAATAAAACTGCTGATTGATAAGTCCAGCGATCTCTTTGGCAAACCTCTTCACCCCAGGCTAGAAGGAAATGGACAAAATTAGGAAATATATTTAGTGGTTGTGTTTTTTCATTTGTCCGGTACTTGCTTTCTTGATTTTGTTCTGTGTTATTTTATTTACTAAAATCTTCTGAGTTTATGATTTTTAAAACAATGCGAGATGCTCGCATGTTCGTGATATTTACCCTTTTAAAAATGAAGTAGTAACACCTTAAAATAAAGTAACACCTCAACGCTTTCTGTCCCAAGCAGTACACCATGTTTGCTCAGCTTATTTCTGTGTTCATTAGCACAGCACAAGGTGTGTTATTATTTATTTTATGTTTGGTCTAGATATGCACAAGAAATCTGGCTAAATATTTTTAGATACTGCACAGTAAATACTATGCGTTTTAAAGTCATACACTGATGCCTTTTTCATTATGAGTATTGTGCCAATTTGGGTAGGGTTTCAACTTTGAAACCATTGCAACTGAAAGATTTAAAGAATGTTGAATTAAGAATTGACATCAGAGCACTAGGGACCATCCCATAAGCGCTTCAGCAACAAGCGAAGAGTTCCAGTTCTGATGGCACTAGTACCTGTCTCATCTTTCTCTTGAGTGTTGAGCGTCAGGCCAGATCCCCTGGTAACTCCCCGCAGTGCCATTCTCCTCAGACTATAATGATCTTTCTGTGCCTCTGCACTGTTTATTCACTCCCAAAGGGCCCTCACAACATCTAGCTTGACATCCCCGTGTGGGTTCCGGGGCCCCATTGTGGAAAAAACAAGAATAGACCCACTGCCTACCCAAAAGCATGTCGTAAGAGTCGACTAATTGGGGAGCTTCCTTTGAAGTCGGAGTACATCTGCCTGAGGGGCAAGGAATCAACAGTCTGTATTCAAGTGAATCAGATCTGTAAAACTGATGCACACCCAACACTCAAGTTCTGGAGTAGGACTGCAGTTCAGAAGTGGACGAACAGCCAGAACTTTTCGGCCAGAGTTTACAGCTGGTGAACGCAAAGAAGAAGAAGAAGATCTAGCTTGACACACATCAGTTGCCACCAACTGGTGCAGAACCAGCCAGTCTAAATGCCTGCTTATTTCCCAACACACCAGCATGACCTACCTGGAGACAATATCCAAATGGTGCTATCTACCCAGGACCTCTGAAGGGATGCTTGCCACTCTGCACGAAGCATGCTTGTGAAAGAGTTGAAGTAGCTAGAGTATCAATTTATTGAAAAAGTTGGTGCTTTAAAGTAACAACTAGAGTGGGTAAGACACAGTTTAATATTCTTGTTTCACTTTCACAGCCGGACATCAGCAAGTATGCATCACAGTTGCTGCCCTTGCTGTTCCAGTATTTAAACAAATCTATGGAGGAAGTGGATAAGAATCCAAAAGGTGTTATCAAAAGTCACTATGCCCTGGAGATGTTTTGTGAGAATTTAGGTAAACATCTACATCTTGTGTCTAGAACTGTTTTTCTAAATGTCCGTGAAGATAATGAGGTCATAATTGGAAAATGTATTAAATTCTCTGCAATTTTAATAGTAAATTGTCAAAGCTATTTAGAGTAAAGATTGTAATGCTCTGCTTTCATCCTTAACCTTTTGAGTCTCAAGGAACGCATCACACGTTCATAGGTTTCTACCTAGAAGCCCAATAAACGCAAGATGCGCCGATTTTATGTCTCTTTTGACTACCCTTTGGGCCTCTGATGCTAAACCCCCTGGGACTCAAAGAGTTAAAAAGGGCGGTTACCCTTTTGTTTTGTGGTTGTGTGCACCTTTTAACCCAGTATATACAGTTTTTCACCTTTTTAGGGTTAGAATTGCAAGGGGTCTATTGTGTCTACTCACCCCCACCCCCTCCCCATTTTCTGCAGATATAGTATTCATATACCAAGTAGCTGTGTGGAATGTAGTAGAATTTCCTATCTGGCGTGAGCAATCTTTCTTTCTTCCTTTCCGCTTCAAGTGGAATACAAAACCTCAGTGATCTCATACTTAGCCCTCTGTAGACATGTTTATTGCAACTCAGGCTTTCTGTGGGCCTTTCTGTGTCTTCTTCTTCGCGTTCACCAGCTGTACACTCTGGCGGAAAGTTCTGGTTGTTCGTCCACACCTGGACTGCAGTCCTGCTCCAGAACCTGGGTGTTGCGTGTGCATCAGTTTTACAGATCTGATTCACTTGAATGCAGACTGTTGGTTTCTTGCCTCTCAGGCAGATGCACTCCGACTTCAAAGGAAGCTACCAATTAGTCGACTCTTACGACATGCTTTTTGGTAGGCAGTGGGTCTATTCTTGTTTCCCCCCCCCCCCCCACAATGGGGCCCCGGATCCCACACAGGGACCTTTCTGTGTGAGCATTGGGCTCTATTTTATGCGAGATAAGAAAATTAGACTTACGGCCCTCCTATCAAGCCTGATGTAAAATTAGGGTGTTTTTCTTTTTCTTTTTCAAAGGCAGAAGTGCATCTGCCTGAGAGGCAAGGAACTAGCGTCTGCGTACAAATAAGCCAGAAATGTAGAATAGATGTACAAACAAAACTCAGGTTCTGTAACCATTGTAGTCTACTAGCCCTTATTATGCCAGTAAATAGTGGTTCTTTCTGCACTTTATTTATTGTTGACCCACTTTGTATTAGACTGTTTTAACTGTTACAAAATTGATTTAATCAGTTGACTTGGGATGTTTTTTTTTCAACCAGGTGCAGGAATTCTGCCCTTCCTTCCCGAGCTGATGGGTTATCTGCTTAATGTAATACACAACTGTCACCTAGACAAGCCTAAAGAGCTGGCCATTAGTGCAATCGGGGCAGCCGGTAAGTTACTGTTGCAGTCTAATTATAGCCCCTGTCACACAAGTGATGATGTCCTTTTTGTTGGGGAAGAATGGATCCATCATCTCATCACGGTCTGCCTGAAAGAAACTCGGTCTCTCGCCAGCTCTCCCGCCTCTACTTTCATACTCAAAGAGTCACTTATATCCTGTATTCATCTTCGTGTTGGTCGGCCCTTCCCTCTCTTTCCTGGTACCATGCCTTCTGCTATAATTTTTTCTATTCCGCCGTGGCGCTTGATATGACCACAATATTTCAGCTTCCGAGACAGGATGCTGTTTATTAGAATAGATTCACAGCTCCTAAAAGCATTTCGTAAAAGTTTATTTAAAGATTTGCTAAAATGAGATGCTAGGCCTAAAGATGCATATATCGCAACATAGCTATAATTCACAACACAATGGACCAATTCCCTTTTTTATGGGACAAAAGAAGTTTCAAATTTAGTCTCAGATCTGATATTGCCACACAAGGTTGTCTGTAGGCAGTCTTCTTCTTCGCGTTTACCAGCTGTACACTCTGGCGGAAAGTTCTGGTTGCTCGTCCACTACTGAACTGCAGTCCTGCTCAAGAACCTGAGTGTTGCGTGTGCATCAGTTTTACAGATCTCATTCTCTTGAATACAGACTGTTAGTTCCTTGCCTCTCCGGCAGAAGCACTCCGACTTCAAAGGAAGCTCCCCAATTAGTCGACTCTTACGACATGCTTTTGGGTAGGCAGTGGGTCTATTCTTGTTTTCCCCCACAATGGGGCCCCGGAAGCCACACGGGGGATCTCAGTAGGCAGTGAGTAGAGGTTTCTTCATTAAACTCACATCTCTCTTCACAGGTTCTCCTGAATCATGTTTGAATATCCTTCAACATTTTTTATCATGTCATTACGTTTCACTTTATTGAATGCTGTCCTCAAAAACCCTTGTGTGATTCCTACAGCAAATGCAGCCAAGGAGGAGATGCGACCCTACTTCAAGGACATCCTGGAGTTGTTCAAGGGCTTTCTGACCACGTCAACCGAGGTCAAGGAGGAGGAGAAGAAGTTGCAGCTGGCGGCCATTGGTTTGTTGTTGGCTTTACACTTTCTTTGCCTTTATCTTTTTTTATTTGGTTTTACACTTTCTTTCTTTTTACTTTTTTTTGTGTGTGTGTGTGTGTGGGTTAGCTTTACATTTTGTTTCTATTTACCTTTTCTGTTGACTTTGCACTGTCTTTCTGGGCGTTATACTTTCTTTCTGTTCACCTTTGCTGTTGGCTGTTTTGTTGTCTGAGACTTCGTTTGTTAGGGACAAATGTTAATATCTCTCTCCTCTTCCCCCTCCCCCCTTTCCTCTTTGTGTATGTCTTTCTCTCTCTCTTTCTTGTGTCTGTCTCAGCTCTGTTCTGTCTCTCTTGATCAGTCTCACTTCTCTGTCTATGTTTCACTTGGTATCTCTCTGTAACATTCTCTCTCTGTCTCCATAACCATCTCTCTGTCTCTTCTGTTTCTTTCTCCCTTTAGTTTATCGTGTCAATACCATTGTGACACTACATCCTCTATCAATGTTTTAAATACAGTTCTGTCAGGTTGGAAAAGCCTAGATAGTGTTGCAGAACCAACCCCAGCATTTATTGGCTGTAGTGGTTTTTCTAGGCAAATTTTTCATTCAGTAGTTTGCCATTTCTTGCTGAAAGGTCAGCTCTTGTTGGTACCACTGTCAAAACCAACGCATGACAAATCATTTGCAGCAGGGATCGAACGGGGCAACCCGGCATTACGAAGCTTGTTCACAACGCCGAAGCCAGATAGGTAGAAATAGATAAAAGAACATGCTCTGGCCAGATCTCATGTGAAGGGCTGATTCGTCTGTACAAACTTATAGCCAGCACTAATACCTTTTACACATCAGGGCACGGAAAAGGTTTAGTTCATATGCTGTTTCTTTTACTGCTACTGGGTAAAGTCTGGAAAGTAAAGGTGGCCGTCATGATGCTGACCAAGTGCCTATATAAAATCTGATCTAGCGCTATATGCCCTGTATGCATTTAGTGCTGCTGTTGTGATTTCTTTATCCTTACTTTCAGCTGAAACTCCACTTTCTGTGTAATTGAAACAAAACATTTACTTTTTTTGGCAAGTGCAATTTGCCAACTGTAACAGGCATTTGTGATTGTTACAGATACCCTGGCCGTGTTTGCACGCTGTATTGGTGAGGAAACCTTCCGCCCCCTGGCCACGGAATGTGTCAACTTGGGTTTGAACCTGCTGAATTCTTCCAGTGACCCAGATCTACGCAGATGTGTGTAAGTGATCGGTTTCTGAGTGTCTCTTCTGTGGATTTAATTTCTGCAGTTCATTGTAGTTGTGTATGAGGGGGGTAGGAGTTGAGGACCAGAGGAGAACAGAGAATATTAGATGAGTCATCATTTGATCCTTTGCACAACGTCACTGTCATCACATTCTGCCTGAAAGAAACGTCCACTTTCCTAGCCCAGGTGTCGCTTATATCGTGTCTCATCTTCTTGCTAATCGACCCATGCCCCTTTCCTGGTACCCACGCTTTCTGCTGCTACTCTTGCCAGTCAGCAGTGGCACGATATTGCCAAAATATTTCATTTTCCAAGACATGATCCCGGATCACTGGCCAGTCTTCCTTAATATCAGAGGTGCTGTGTGGTCTTGAGGCATGGCATCCACCTCGAGGGCTGGAGGTCCTGGGTTCAAGCCCCAGGGAAGGCTAGGATTTGTGTGCACTGAGCTGAGATTCTTCGGACTCAGGCTTGAGTCAGAAATAGAACAGAAGCTTATGGGCTACTACTCTTGTGCCATAATCTAGATCCGTCATCTAAATCTAAACCGTCCTTAATGTTCAGATCTTTAGGAGGTCAGTATTTCTTTTCTTCTTTGTTCATGATATTTTGAGAACCTTATATCTTCAAGGCCCTTATTTACTTCCGTTATGGCTGCAAGATGTTCCACAACTCATATCCTACGTTACCTGGTACAACACTTTAGACCTTGATTTCCTTCCTGATGCTTAGCCATAAAAATGTGGTACTTTTTAATGTAGTTTTCTAGCAAAACTGTTTTTAATATATGTCAGTGTCATCTCAGGGATAACTTCAAAACATCATTTCAGAATGTACTATGTTGTCAGCTATGTTATTGTTTCTTCTCCTTCTCCTCCATTTACTTCATGAAAGTATTGACAGAAGGTATAAACATATTTTCTGAGTGCTGTTTTTAAAAAAAAATTTTTTGGATCGTTCACTGGCTGTAAACTTCAGCAGATATTCCTGGTTGTTTGTCCACATCTGTACTTTGATCTCGTTCCAGAACTTGAATCTTGTGTGCGCATCTGTTTTACTTCTCTAGCTTATATGTATGCAGACTGTTTGTTTCTCGCCTCTGAGGCAGACAAATTAATTGTCTCTTACGGCATGCTTGTTACATGGGCAGTGTGTTCCACCCCCTAGGGCCCCGGAACCCACATGTAGTTCTCTGTATGATGTGGCGTTATAAGTTGATCTTCATTGCTTTAATGTTGATGCCATTGTTGCATCATTTGCATCATCTTCTATTTTCTCAGTGTTTATTATATTGGTTGAGTGTGGCCGTTGGTGTCAGCATATTTTCACCAGATGGCCAAACTATCTTCACTGTTGTTCTTTATTTAACTGTATAACTGGTTTGAGTCGCATGCTTCTACTGTCTTCTTTTTTATTTTTAAGTCAGTGCTTAATGATAATACAATATCAGTTTCTCAATCTGTAGATGGTAGAAATTCTTCTCCCGACAGAGCAAGACTTAAATAAAAGTCCTTAGCTCCCTCGTGGACCCAGCCTTAAATGGGTGCCAAGTAAATCCTAGGAAATATAGGCGGCCGGCGTGATGTTGACTATATCACCCAGAAAATGCTGATTTTTCTATAAAATATAGATCTTGCCCTATATGCCCTGTAAGTCTAAAGGCGTTGAAAACGTCCTTTCCTTTAAGAAATATCTTTTTGTAGATGTAAGGCAGTAGAGTGTACTTGCTGCCACCCTCTGATACTGACATTCTTTCTTGATCAGGTACAGCTTGTTTGCTGCCATCTCCACTGTACTTGCTGCGAGCCTCTGATACTGACATGCTTTCTTGATCAGGTACAGCTTGTTTGCTGCCATCTCCACTGTACTTGCTGCGAGCCTCTGATACTGACATTCTTTCTTGATCAGGTACAGCTTGTTTGCTGCCATCTCCACTGTACTTGCTGCGAGCCTCTGATACTGACATTCTTTCTTGATCAGGTACAGCTTGTTTGCTGCCATCTCCACTGTACTTGCTGCGAGCCTCTGATACTGACATGCTTTCTTGATCAGGTACAGCTTGTTTGCTGCCATCTCCACTGTACTTGCTGCGAGCCTCTGATACTGACATGCTTTCTTGAGCAGGTACAGCTTGTTTGCTGCCATCTCCACTGTACTTGCTGCCACCCTCTGACACTGACATGCTTTCTTGATCAGGTACAGCTTGTTTGCTACCATCTCCACTGTACTTGCTGCCACCCTCTGACACTGACATGCTTTCTTGATCAGGTACAGCTTGTTTGCTACCATCTCCACTGTACTTGCTGCGAGCCTCTGATACTGACATGCTTTCTTGATCAGGTACAGCTTGTTTGCTGCCATCTCCACTGTACTTGATGCAAGCCTCTGATACTGACATGCTTTCTTGATCAGGTACAGCTTGTTTGCTGCCATCTCCACCGTCATGAAGTCAGACATGGCCGACTACCTGGAGACAATCACCAACTGTATCTTTACTTCCATGAAGTCAACCGAAGGAGTCAAGGTAAGGCATTCCTTAGCTACCGGGCACATCAGTCATGTTCTATTCTGATTGTTAGAACAGTTGATTGAGTCAGTTTCTGTTTATCATCACAGTATATTCTACTACCTTTGTAATGCCGGGTTCGACCCCGGCTGCAGGCTTTGCGTTGGTATCGAGAAGCCGACCGTCCAGAAAGCAATGGCAAACTACTGGACGTTAACTTTCCTAGCAAAACCACAACAGCCAAAAAATGCTTGGGTTGGTTCTGCAACGTTCTGTAAAGGGACACAACTAACTTATATTGTACTACACATCTCTTACCAGAGAACACTGGCATGAGTTGATTCAGGAACCAACATCATAACACTCAATGCAGTCAGCGCAGAGTCCCAATACAAATGGTGCCAGTAACAGTCTGCTCATACGTCCGTCTTGCCTTTTCTCGTTGAGTATCGGCCAGATCCCCTTGTCACTCCTCGCTGCCTCTCTCACCAGGCTGTGGTGATCCATTTGTCCCTCCGAATCGTTCACGTGTTCCCATAAGGCTTTGACCATGCCTGCCTTATCCTGCATCAAAATTCCACCAGGTTGTGTAGAACCGCCAGTCGGTCCACCTGTTCATTTCCCAGAAACACTGGCATCCGACCCATTACCCCAGAATGAGAGGAGGGATCCCAGTTTTACTGTTTTGTAAAAAATCCAGTCCTCACCACGAATTGGACAAATTCTCCAGCTAAAGACAGATGCCATAAACTCGAAGACGCTTCTCCATGGTATAGCATATCCAAATCCAACAAGGGGCTGGTTAATTTTTCTGATTGGAAGATGTCAGTGGTGGACTTATTTATAAACCTCTGATTGGAAGATGTCAGTGGTGGACTTATTTATAAACCTCTGATTGGAAGATGTCAGTGGTGGACTTATTTATAAACCTCTGATTGGAAGATGTCAGTGGTGGATTTATAAACCTCTGTTTGGAAGATGTCAGTGGTGGATTTATTTATAAACCTCTGACTGAAAAATGTCAGTGGTGGACTTATTTGTATTTTTCTGATTCTTCTTCTCCTCCTCCTTTGTTCACCGGCTGGAAGCTCCTGCGGAAAGTCCTCTGTTGCATCCATTATGACTTTAGCTTCGTGCCAGGGCCTGATTTTTGTGTGTACATCCATTTACTGGCTTTTTATGTGCAGTTGATTGTTCTTTGCCGCCTGGGCAGATGCACTCTAACTTCAAAGGAAACTCTCAGTTAGTTTACTTTTACAACATGATTGTTAGGGAGACAGTAAGTATTCTTGATTTCCCCACAGTGGGGCCCTAGAAGAAAATTTCCCAAAAATGTCAGTTGTGATCTCATTTTTAGATCTCTTTGAGAAAAATGTTAGTGTTAACTGATCATTACATAACTAGCTTGGAAAGAGTCAGTACATTAATTATTGTCTCCTTTATTGAGTCCATCCTATTGCTTCTTTTAACATGTACATATTTTATTTGTTCAGGCACACTATAAAAATGAGAGCGACTGCGTGACAGTTTTTGATGAGGAAGATTTCAATGAAGATGATGACTTGGAGACAGAGAATGGTGATGATGAGGAGGATTACAAGCTCGAAGGGTGAGATAGATAGAGGCTGACACAAAAGTTCATTGACAAATCATTTCAGATGTATCTAAAAAGTAGATAGACTGCCTGCTGTAACTGACAACATTAGCTGTGTGGAATATTATATACTATCCTCTTTGTGTTCAGCTCAAACGTCACTTGGATTTCACAGTAATACAATTAAGAGTTTTAAGAACTTGCATCTTTTCTTAAACTGTATACAGATATGAATCTTGGACTTCCGGTGTGGATTCTGGTGCCCCATTGTCGTGGGGAAAACAATAGACCCTCTGCCCCCAACAAGAATATTGTAGAGGGGTGACTATTTAGGGGTGTTTCTTTTACGTCATTGTGCATCTGCCTGAGAGTTGAGTAACCAGCACTCTGCATGAAAATAGGCCAGATCTGTAAAACAGATGTGCATGCCAAACGCCAGTTCTGGAACAAGACTCAAGTCCAGAAGTGGATAAACAGCTCGGACATTCTGCCAGAGTTTACAGCTGGTGAATGCCAAGAAGAAAAATCTTGAGCATGTTTACAATCACTTACTAAGAAAATTTAAGATTTCGATCCAAAATATTACAAATTGTGGAAGCACCATGGTACAAGAAGCAAAAAATAACTTTTACAAGATCGGAACATTGATAATAACTGGCTCATACATAGTATGGTGGAAACATCTAGAAGGTTGTCTCTTTGGGACACTGGAAACATCTCAAAGTTTGTTACTTTTCCACAGTGGAAGTATCTAGAAAGTTTTCAGTTTAGGAGAGTGGAAACATCTAAATGCTTGTCACTTTCGAACAGTAATCATCTAGAAAGTTATCACTAGGGACAATTAAAACATCTAAAAGGTCACTTAACAGCACTATATTATTAGTTTTAGTTTTAGAATTGATCAGTCAGTCTTACGCAGCTATAACCTAGTATGCATTACAGTCTCAGCATTCAACTCAGCATTTATTTTATTATGTATACTGGCAAAGAAAGTAAAACTGCAAAATGCTAAATATATAATTACTTCCTAAAAATGAGCGGATAGGCCCGCATGCCCAGTTTATGAGACTGAAAAGTTCACATTCTGCACATATTGTGTGGTGACTAAACGTTGCTCTGATTGTCTACTTTGTCCTTGATCCAGGATATCAGTCGAGAATGCTTACCTGGATGAGAAAGAGGACGCTTGCTGTGCCCTGGGGGAACTTGCCTATAACACAGGGTATGTGTTTTGCTTTCTTTTTCATTGTTATTAGATATTTGTTTAAAGCTGCATGTTCATAATTTTTTGTTTGTCTGTAAAACCCTGTTTATATAGTATGGATCCAAAAAAAAAATCAGATGATTTGTTAGATTAAAACTAGTTTGACAGTCTTTACATTGAAATACGGGTTCGTTGTTTGGTCTTCTTTGTACAGATTCACATGAAAACTAGTGTTTTTTTTAAAGTTTTTGAGCGTCAGATATTTGTATTGTTGAGCAAATGTTTCAGATATGTTACCTGATTTTATATTAATTTCTTATGATGTCTTATTTGCTTTTTTTCCCCATTCATGTTAATCTCTTATGATATCTCAACTGTAGTACCTCATTTTAAGTTACCTCTTGTGGTACATCCGTTGTAATACCTGATTTCATGTTGTCTCTGGTGATTTCTTGAGGTGTTTTATCTGATTTCAAGTTACCTTTTGTGATATCCTAGTTGTAGTACCTCATTTCATGTTAATCTCTTGTGATATCTCAGTTGTAATACCTCATTTCATGTTAATCTCTTGTGATATCTCAGTTGTAGTACCTCATTTCATGTTATCTCTTGTGATATCTCAGTTGTAGTACCTCATTTCATGTTAAATCTCTTGTGATATCTCAGTTGTAATACCTCATTTCATGTTAATCTCTTGTGATATCTCAGTTGTAGTACCTCATTTCATGTTATCTCTTGTGATATCTCAGTTGTTGTACCTCATTTCATGTTAATCTCTTGTGATATCTCAGTTGTTGTACCTCATTTCATGTTAATCTCTTTTGATATCTCATTTGTAGTACCTCATTTCACGTTAACCTCTTTTGATATCTCGTTTGTAGTACCTCATTTCATGTTAATCTCTTTTGATATCTCATTTGTAGTACCTCATTTCAGTTGTGACATTGCAAGATCTGTTTTACCTGATCTATTATTATTCACACAGACCAGCATTTTTCCCGCTGCTACAAAAGTCATATGCAGAAGTGGTGGACCTGGTCAACTACCCAGCCGTGGGCATCAAGAAGGCAGCCTTCAGCACCCTGTGCCAGCTGTGTCTGTGTGTGCATGAGGCGTACAAGGCAACACAGTCTCCTGAAGCCTACGAAGGTACAAGCATTACATAGCTGATGTTGGGCTTCCCCCGCATGGGTTCCGGGGAAAACAAGAATAGACCCACTGCCTACCCACAAGCATGTCGTCAGAGTCGACTAATTGGGAGCTTTCTTCAAAGTCGGAGTGCATCTGCCTGAGAGGCAAGGAACCAGCAGTCTGCATACAAATGAGTCATATCTGTAAAATGGATGCACACCAACACTCAGGTTCTGGAACAGGACTGCAGTCCAGAAGAGGATAACAACCAGAACTTTTCGCCAGAGTTTACACCTGGTGAACGCAAAGAAGAAGAAAGCTGATGAAAGATTAGACTCATAAGGGGAACTGATTGCCCATCTCAGACAGAGACAGTGTACATTCTTTGATCATGTGATGAGAAAGAGAAAATGAGAGTACATCGTGACTGAAAGAAAGCTGGAGGAGAGGCAGGGGGAGGCCGAGAGAAATAATGCTGGATGGTTTGACATGCATAAAAGGATCATCTGTGTGGGAGTTAATTAGAGGTGCAATTCCCAACAGCTACAAGATCTGCAGTCTGCGAAGCTTGCACCCATGAACTCTGAACACACTGTTAAATTCCCAGTGCACTGTTAACGTGTGGTTAACGCTGCTGGCTGTATTCACACTTGCACGAATGTTTATGAGGTCAGGATTTTAAAATATTAACTAAACATGGGGGGGGGGGGGGGGGGGAAAGGGGGTGGCTTCCTTAATGCTGAATGGTTTTTTTAAAAGCTGTGCTGACATGGAATAGTCCCTAAACCTCAGCAGATGCATATATTGTTCAGGCCCCAGGAAATGTACTTCATTTGTGTAAAATTGTTGATATTAAAGGATTTCTTTTGAAAATTTTTATGGGGCCATGACCCTTTGTGTTTCAAGCGTTACCATGGCGAAAGTATTAAAAATGTAACTAGCAGAATATGCTGAGGGTTTTACCTAACACTTTTAGGCCAGTCACAAGCGGAATTGATAGTGTACCTGGCAGTTAGTTGCAGACCTGGACTTTGCAGGAAAAAGATCCCTGAGCAGTTGGAAATCATAAATAGGCTGCAACAGTGAGTCCAGGTGAAATTTTTAGATTTTAAGAAAAGCTACTCATTGATTTGAAAGAAAGTGAAGGGTCGTGAACTGAGAACTCTACCCATGTAGACATGTGCTGCAGACGTGATCTTTACTTGAAGTAGAAAGATCTTTAGACTGGCATTCTGGAAGCCAAGTTGATGGGTCAGTGGAGCCTTCATCAAGGCCTGTGGCCTTCTCATCCAAAAAACATGGGCAGAGAGAACGAAAAGATTTGAAAGATAGTTTGACTGATGTCACTTGGTGGATGGCATGACCTCTATTGCCTGGAGGACAGTAATACTTCTTACCCTTGGAGGATAGTCTAGAAGCTTGACCTCTTGCATACAGCTTGGCTATTTGTTGCTAGCAGAATGGTTTTGATTGGTGGCACTTAATGATGGTTTTTATCTCACAGCAGTTTTGTTTGGTTAAGTTTGCAGTTTACTATTGAGTACTAGCACCCAACATAGAGGGTCTTCCTTGTTCTTTGGAGCTGTGTGTAAACGTAAATACAATGGAGTCTGGACATTTTTAATCTCAACTCAAAACTCTCCCATCTCTCTTCAGCCCTGAAGAACATGATCCTGGGCGTTGTGCCCAGGTACCTGGAGGCCATCAAATCAGAGATGGACCGCACTGTGGTGATGTCGGCTGTCGATTCCCTGCAGGAGCTGCTGGACAAGATTGGGCAGATAGTTCTGAGCATCACCGGGGCAACCGATGCCATTCTAACCGCCATGAAGGAAATTTTCACCCACAAGGTTAGGGTCTTGTCCAGTCACGTGATAGTTTAGACCAGTATTATTTGCAGTTTTAGCTTTTTAAGATCATTATGGAGTGGTTCAAACTACTCGACGTAAATTTGTCTAGAAAAACCACACAACAGCCAGGGGCTATTGGGGTTGGTTCTACAACGTCCTGTAAAGGATATGCAACTAACCATGGAGTGGTTGCATTTGAATGGGCTGTGGGTTTAATGTTCAGAGATCCAGTAAAGTATTCCCTTTTTAAGTGGCTTAGGTACATCATGAGAAGATTTCAGTCGACTGAAAAATCGTACACATTCTGAATTTCTCACACATGCAGCTGAGAAAAAAGGAAGTATCGATACAAACGGGCAGTCCTTTGTTACACAAGCAGAAGGATATGGGGGTTAATTTAAGGCTCCTTTAATTGTAAACATTCGTTAACTGGTGCCTGGGCAGAATAGAAGGAATTGAATGGTATGATGGAATCACTAATGTAGAGCTTAGGGATAGAACTAACAAGTTCCTGTGGATCAAGAGGTGAGGAAAAGATGCTGATGTTGGATAGGACACTTGTTGAGAAAACCTCAGAGCAGTATAATTAGAATTTCTGAGCTGAGTCAAGAATTGGCATCACAGCACTCGGGGCATTGCCATACATGCTCCGTTCTCATCTTCAGCAGCCAGCGCAGAGTTCCAATACTAATGGTACTGGTCACAATCTGGCTATATGTCTGTTTTGCCGTACCTCTGAGTGTAGTGAGCCAGCAGACCCTCTGGTTATACCCAGGTGCCTCGTTCTCTCCAGGCCATAATAATAATTAGAATATCTTTTCACTGGAACCCACAGGGGCATAGAAATAAAGGAAGACAACCCCCCCCCCCCCCTCCCCCTCCCTTCAAAAACGCGTGGAGAAGGGAGCTAAAGAGTAAAGTTAGAATTATAGGGAGGGCATGCTGAGAGCTGAATGCTATAGCGAAGGATAAGCAACTTGGCGTGAATTGGTTGAGGGCCTATGCTTCATTGGTAGTTAGAAAGGCAGAAGTAGAGAGAGACTTAACACAACCCCCTTGTGCACTGCTTTTATGTTGATTTCTGTTTTTTGCTCACAGGTGGCCTGCCAGGATCAGGACGATGAGAATGAAGATGAAGCTGAGTTTGACAGCATGCTCATCGAGTCAGCTGGCGATGTACTTCCTGTCATGGCCAGGATTATGGGAGGGGAAAATTTTCTTCCGTTCTTCACTTCCTTTGTCCATGACCTTCTTAAAAGATTGGTATGCTTATTTTCTCCTAAAAAAATTTATATTTTGTTTCTTTTAGATATCTAAATCTGACAGCATTGATTGACCTTTACTGATGTTTGATTCTCTTCTGGTTCCTTCTGTGTGCACGTTTTTGTCCCCAATTAAACCTTGTTAAGTTTCCTGGTGATATTACATTGAATTGTTTTCTTGTTAGCGTTTCCGGGCTGTAAACTCCAGCGGAAGTCATGGTTGTTATTTCATTTCTGGACTTGGGTCCTGTTGCATAACTTGAGTTTTGTGTGTACATCCATTGTAATGTTCTGGCTTATTTACATAAATCTTTTTTGTATATGGCTTAGGCGTAACGAACATGCTTCATAATGCTGGGTTCGATCCCAGCTGCAGGCCTTGCATTTGTTTCAACAGTGGTATAGAGAAACCGACCATCCAGAAAGCAATAGCAAACTACTGGACGTAAGAAAAAACTCAACAGCTAAAAAAAATAGTTGGGGTTGGTTCTGCAACGTCCTATAAAAGATACGCAACTAATTTTTATCTGTATGCAGACTGTTGGTTCCTCGTCTCTCAGGCAGATGCACTCTGACTTTGAAGAGAATGTCCCTAATTAGACTCCTTCTACAACATGCTTGTTAGGAAGGCAGAGGGTCTATTCTGCCCCCCCCCCCTTTCCCCCCAACCAATAGGGCTTTATAACCCAGATAGCGGAGGGAAATAATTGATATGGCAAGGGTAAATACCAAGCATAGACACATCTGTCGTAGAGGAATTAGCATTGATATGCTCTTGAAGGCACTTTAGAGTTTTGAGACAATGACCGATTGGATCTTTTGGTTTTAAGAGTGCTAGGAAAACTTGGAGTTGATAAGAGGAAAGGAATATTCTGAGGATGATAAATGACTGAAAATTGAATTTACATTATCCGATTTTAGGAGGTTTGAATTTGGATACACAATATCGTGCATGGTGGAATGTTCTCTGTGTTTGTCTCATGATTTCATGATTTTGTGCTTAGAGAGTGTCCGAGGGGGTGAGGAACAATCAGCATCTACACCTTTTTAACATTTGCTAGAGATTAAATATTTATGGGTTTGCTCCGCGTGCTTTTGGGAAGCTGCAGTAGTGTAGAGGCTAGATGTTCCGCTGCCACCCCTGAGGTCTTCATTTCACATCCACACTGAGTTGAATTTGTCTAAATTGACCTTGGCTCTTAGGTTAATTTAGTCTTCAGTAAGGCTGTGTTCTGTGGAATAAAGCGGCTAGCACGATGTTGGCCACCTTACGTGGATTGGTCTATAAAATATCATTTTAGCGTCACAAAGAGTCCTTTGCTTTTTTTTTTTTTTTTTTTCAAATTTACTTTACCCCAAGCTCTGAGATATTACTCGCTTGAGCCAACAAGTATTCACCCTTTTCATTTTGTGTTTTTAATATTTTGTTGAACAGAAGGAGACCTCTTCGACTGCAGAGAAATCGTTCGCTGTGGGCACTCTGGCAGAAGTGATCGAAGCTTGTGGAAGTGCTGTGGGTTCTGTGTTCACAAACACCCTGTACCCGGTGTTCACCCGCATGACGACTGATGAAGATGAGGAGGTGCGCAGTAATTCTGTATTTGCCTTGGGCGTCCTGGCGGTTAATGGAGGCGATGTGATGGTTAGGTCAGTGATTGTCTTCCTGTATATATTATTATTATAAGTAGTCACTATGTGGTTACGAGTATTGAGCATGACTTCTTTTACTAATATAAGCAATTTGGGGGGGGGGGGGGGGGGGGGGGGGGGGGGGGGCTTTTTTCACTTCTTCTATTGCTAATAAAGTACATTAGAAGAATTTTTCACTTCTTCTGTTGCTCATAATCATTATGTTAGGAGCTATTTGCACTTCTTCTGTTGCTCATAATCATTATGTTAGGAGCTATTTGCACTTCTTCTGTTGCTCATAATCATTATGTTAGGAGCTATTTGCACTTCTTCTGTTGCTCATAATCATTATGTTGGGAGCTATTTGCACTTCTTCTGTTGCTCATAATCATTATGTTGGGAGCTATTTGCACTTCTTCTGTTGCTCATAATCATTATGTTGGGAGCTATTTGCACTTCTTCTGTTGCTCATAATCATTATGTTGGGAGCTATTTGCACTTCTTCTGTTGCTCATAATCTTTATGTTGGGAGCTATTTGCACTTCTTCTGTTGCTCATAATCATTATGTTGGGAGCTATTTGCACTTCTTCTGTTGCTCATAATCATTATGTTGGGAGCTATTTGCACTTCTTCTGTTGCTCATAATCATAATGTTAGGAGCTGTTTGCACTTCTTCTGTTGCTCATAATCTTTATGTTGGGAGCTATTTGCACTTCTTCTGTTGCTCATAATCATAATGTTAGGAGCTGTTTGCACTTCTTCTGTTGCTCATAATCTTTATGTTGGGAGCTATTTGCACTTCTTCTGTTGCTCATAATCATAATGTTAGGAGCTGTTTGCACTTCTTCTGTTGCTCATAATCTTTATGTTGGGAGCTATTTGCACTTCTTCTGTTGCTCATAATCTTTATGTTGGGAGCTATTTGCACTTCTTCTGTTGCTCATAATCATTATGTTGGGAGCTATTTGCACTTCTTCTGTTGCTCATAATCATAATGTTAGGAGCTGTTTGCACTTCTTCTGTTGCTCATAATCATAATGTTGGGAGCTGTTTGCACTTCTTGTGTTACTCACAAAGGATGTTGTATTGTGAGCATTTGCAGATGTCAAGGTCATCCTCTACTAGGATGTCAAGGTCATCCTCTACTAGGATGTCAAGGTCATTCTCTACTAGGATGTCAAGGTCATCCTCTGCTAGGATGTCAAGGTCATCCTCTACTAGGATGTCAAGGTTTGTGCCGGCTGGATATGAATGATACAGGATTGAGGTGCATTTTTGAGGATAGGGTGCCATAGACTATGTTGCATGTAGGAGGAAAATCAGGAAGGTAATAGAAATAAATAAAAATATCTCTGGAAAGACATAAAAGGGTCAGTTTTAGAAGCATATTTAACTTCTTTTCTCGTTAATAAATTAAGCTCATAGTGAGTAATGATGTCACCAATTATCAGCCTTTATGAACACAGTTTTATGACCAGTATTGTGCACATTCATGCTACTGTAGTAACCCTTTCACCCGGATTACCTTTAGAAAAACTGTATGGCGACTGTGGTGCAGTGCGTGTGACCTTGACATCCATACCGGTACCCCCTCCCACCAGAATAGCAAATGGCCAGATTTGGCATCATTACACTGCATGAAATCTTTGACTCATCATTTTTCCCGACATTTCCTATTTCAGCCATTACACCGATGTCCTCAAGACATTGTTTTCTGTGATGAGCACAGAGTCCAACCCACGAGTTCTGGACAATGTGTGCGCTGCTGTTTGTCGTATGATCTGGTACAGCCCTCAGAATGTGCCTTTGGCTCAGGTATGCAGCTTTTTGTCATGTTTTTGTGTGTGCTGTGTCTAGTCTCTCATGAATGGTCTGTGCCCCTAATCTCATGTTTCTGTATTAAGTCGCATATCTCTACACTCAATCTCCCATCTCTGTCCTGGTCTTCCAACTATGTCCAAGTCTCCCATCTGTTTATTAGTGTCCCATCTGTTTTTTAATGTCCCATCTGTTTATTAATGTCCCATCTGTTTATTAATGTCCTATCTGTTTATTAATGTCCCATCTGTTTATTAATGTCCCATCTGTTTATTAGTGTCCCATCTGTTTATTAATGTCCCATCTGTTTATTAGTGTCCCATCTGTTTATTAGTGTCACAGCTCTGTACCAGTCTCCTATCTCTTCCCCAGTCTTTCATCTCTTTTCCAGTCTCCTATCTCTCCTCCAGTCTTTCATCTCTTTCCCAGTCTCCTATCTCTCCCCCAGTCTTTTTTCTCTTTTCCAGTCTCCTATCTCTCCTCCAGTCTTTCATCTCTTTCCCAGTCTCCTATCTCTCCCCCAGTCTTTTTTCTCTTTCCCAGTCTCCTATCTCTCCTCCAGTCTTTCATCTCTTTCCCAGTCTCCTATCTCTCCTCCAGTCTTTCATCTCTTTCCCAGTCTCCTATCTCTATCCCTTTATCCCAGACATCCATATGTATCCCATTTTACCATCATCTCTATCCCCATTCTCCCTCCACCCTAGTCTCCGATCTCTATCTCCAGTCTCCAAAATCTGTTCACAAATCTCTTTCCCCAGTCTGCAATCCCTATCTCCAGTTCCATTTCTGTTTTCTGTGTCATCTCTAGTTCCGTCTATGTTTTCTGTGTCTAATCTCCAGTCTACGGTTCCATCTCTGTTTTTTGTGTTTAATCTCCAGTCTACAGTTCCGTCTATGTTTTCTGTGTTTAATCTCCAGTCTACAGTTCCGTCTCTGTTTTCTGTGTCTAATCTCCAGACTACAGTTCTATCTCCATTTTCTGTGTCTAATCTCCAGTCTACAGTTTCATCTGTTTTCTGTGTCTAATCTCCAGTCTACAGTTCTATCTCTGTCTAATCTCCAGTCTACAGTTTCATCTGTTTTCTGTGTTTAATCTCCAGTCTACAGTTCTGTCTCTGTCTAATCTCCAGTCTACAGTTTTATCTGTTTTCTGTGTCTAATCTCCAGTCTACAGTTTCATCTGTTTTCTGAGTCTAATCTCCAGTCTACAGTTCTATCTCTGTTCTCTGTCTAATCTCCAGTCTACAGTTTCATCTGTTTTCTGTGTCCAATCTCCAGTCTACAGTTTCATCTGTTTTCTGTGTCTAATATCCAGTCTACAGTTCTATCTCTGTTCTCTGTCTAATCTCCAGTCTACAGTTTCATCTGTTTTCTGTGTCCAATCTCCAGTCTACAGTTTCATCTGTTTTCTGTGTCTAATCTCCAGTCTACATTTTCATCTGTTTTCTGTGTCTAATCTCCAGCCCACGCCCTCTCCTTTCCCTTCCTGTATACTATACGATGTCTCCCATTTCTGTCTCTGCCTGCTGGTTAAATCAAGACTGAGCACCATTGAAGATGCCCAAGTGTTGCACACTTCTCAGAACTTATTCTCCCTGCTCAGGTGCTTCCTGTGGTCCTGCAGCTGCTGCCGTTGAAGGAGGACTTTGAGGAGAATGTCACCGTGTTCACCTGCCTCTTGAAGTTATATTCAGAGAATGTCCCTGAGGTGAGCTTGACTTATGAGTTTTGTAAAGAAAGTTTATGTTTCAAAGCCATTGTGATGTTATAATTTGCCTTTAGCCTTTCGTAATTGCATAGCTGCAGGAGTCACGGAATGATTTATCTTATAAATATTTGTTTAGGTCAAAGGGAAGGTAAATCATTTAGTTTTGCGCCTTGGTAATTTTTATTGATAACTTCAATTCATGTGTTTGTTTTAGAAGAATATCCTCAGTCTTATCAGTGATTCGAACCTGTTCTCCCACTTGAGAGCTCAATGTTCTTTCTAACCATTTGGCCAGCCGCTCTTCACAAACATGTCATGAATGACAATTCAGGAGGGATTTGCTGATGTGTTGGGCCGAGAGACACAGATATCACAGCTGGCTATCAATCACAACAGAACACGCCATCCCACATTTTATGGGTGATTACATCAGAAGAAGAAAAACATCACTCAGTATTCCCCGTAATGATGCCTGCTAAAGGGGGAGAATCTCCTCGGCCAAGTGTTTGAGCTGCTTGCCTCACACCCTGAAGATTGTGATCAAATTTGTTGGCTCTCATTCGATTCACAATGCTAATTTATGCTGGGGCACACATCGGGATGAATAAAACCTGTTTGCCCGAATGGTTTAGAGCACTAGGCTTTTGTGCCGGAGACCTGAGTTCAAACTCTTGTCTTGGCTAAAGATGTTTTCTGTCGGGGGCAGAAATACAGTCGTAACCTACACACTCTGGGGACTGCTATAGCTGCCCGACTCTGCCCAAGTCTTCAGGTTCAAAGGTGGCAACACTGGCCGCAGTGGCATTTTATGGCAAAGAAATCATTTCTGTCATATTTTTATATTTCTAATCCCAGCTTGTCACAGTCCGTTGAAAGTTTGTTTGTCTCCTCCACAGCTGATCCCGTTTATCCCCCTACTCCTGACAGTGGTGGCTTCTGTGGTGAGGACAGAGAATATTAAAGATGGTAAGGAGTTGTTTGTTTCATGTGGTTCATTCTTGATTCTGTCTACCCCGTTGATTCAGACATCAGGGCATCATATGTTATCTAAGCAAGGCCGACCAAGCGAGGGATCCTGCAGCGTGGGAAATACATGGTCTGTCAAATGCTCCCAGGGCTTACACTGTGGAGATGAGAAAAATAGAGGCCTTTTCTTAACACGAGCGAGTCTTGCTAGTTACAGTCGCCATCGCCCAAGGCAGGTTTTCCCATGCTTCCCTAAAGCACGATATAACACTACCATCAGGATACATGCCAGTCATCGTACAGTATCAGACCATATCATGCATTCATACAACAGTCACACATTAAAGTCATACACCACTGCAGCATGCACAACAGTCATTACACTACTGTATCATGTACAACAATCATACACCACTATCATTCAGAGCAGTCACCCCACTGTATCATACATCACAAGGGTTGAATCTTGGCCGTAGTGAATGTTTTTCAATCCCCAAAAGCTGCATGTAATGAGGACAGAAACCAGCCACCACTTATTAAGTTGCAGCATAATATCCTTTGTATTTGATTCTCTCGGCAGTATAGAATATATTGACAATTTTGATAAATTTTAGCTTATGTTTCTGCCCTCAGACACCCGCAGCCTCATGGTGCAGTTTGTGAAGAGCGTTAAAGAGAAGTTCCCTGCGGAGTTTGGCCAGGTTTACTCACATTTGGAGCCAGAATTGGTGGCCGTATTGGATACCTGTATAAACAGTGGCCCACCATCTTGATGGGGGCATTTTATCGTTTAACTATTTAATTTACATATTTTGATTTAATGCTTGCTCTTGCGTTTGTTTTTCTGGATTTAAAAAAAACCTTTAATAGACTAGAAAATATTTACAGTTGACTGTATTTTAATGAGAGCAATCAAGTTACTGTACTCCAGACAGTTTTGCTATAATCTTCAATGTTGTATTATTTAGGCTGTTGATGTGGTTACTTCAGCGCATGACATCTCCCTTGGCCACAAGAAAATATGCACTAGCTCGTTGTTTTGGCTTTTATTTTAATTTTCCGTGTAATCAGCGAGGCTGTTGAAGGCATGCAGACTGTGAGCACTTTGTTAATTCTGCTCCGTAAATGTTTTAGTATGATTTCCCACTGCTTACTGTCTGTAATCTGGGAAGTAGTAATTGCCCACCTCCCCGATTTCTTCATTGCCCCCGATTTCTTCAGTCCTCCATCTAATGTATCAAGTGCAGACAACCTCTTGGTTATCCCTGCATTTGTTGATCCTGGGTGTAGAGTCTCCAGAAGAAGAAGAAAGACATCGACATTCTGCACAACCTGAGCATCAAGGGGAACTTGCTCATAAACAGCATCCTCCCAAAAGCTGAGGTATTTTGGACATGTCAAGCGGTCTGGTGGTCTGGAGTGAGCGGTGATGGAGGGTGCAGCTTCCAGCCTCCGCAGACGTGGATACAGGAAACTGAAGATGCATAGGCTGTGAAAGCACATAGGGCTGGAGAAATAGACTTGTGTGCAGGTGTGCCTTGAACAGAGGGACCTTCTTTCTGTAAAAGACCTTCTGCGTGATTAATTGATAGAACACACATATCTCCATATTTTTCTATCTAATGTAGAGAAGGCCTACATCTGTATCTTCCTCTCCCTTTTTTTTTACAAATACAGTGGTACGGAAGATTACTCCTTAAAAGGCGAGTCTTATTCCTTAATAACATAGGGCAACTATTTATGTATTTCTCTCTTGTGTGTATTCCGATTTCTAACTCTGTGGCTAACAATAATTTTTCTACTTCTAACATTGTGACCTTTGCTTTGATAACATAGTCACTCTTTTAGCCTCAGCCATTTTTGCTCTACTTTATTATTTAAACTAGTACAGATCATAGATTTAAGCATGTGATAACGCTTGGAGATACCAGAAACATGAACACCATTCTTATGTTTGGTTATCATTTCCTTCTTCATTTCCTCTGTAATATCCTTAGGTTCCTTTACACAACTGTCATTAAAACTTTTCACTTTCTTGGGAGCTTTAATGAGAGTTAATTTCATGCAAACAAAAACGTATCAAGAAGAACACAACGGCAATGTTCAAAGCGCCCAGACAGAAGTACAACTGAGGCTGTTTTTTTAAAGCTAAAAACATGGTGCCAAAGTCATGTTTTTGCATTCATGCGCCGAGGCATTGTGTTCGTGTGTGATTTGTTGTGACAAGAGGCCTTCGTGACCTGAGGTGCCACTGTACTTCTTTCTGTCTGCTATATAGATTACATGTCTTCATTTGTCTTTCTGTCTGCTATATAGATTACATGTCTTCATTTGTCTTTCTGTCTGCTATATAGATTACATGTCTTCATTTGTCTTTCTGTCTGCTATATAGATTACATGTCTTCATTTGTCTTTCTGTCTGCTATATAGATTACATGTCTTCATTTGTCTTTCTGTCTGCTATATAGAATATACACAACCTCTCTATAGCACTGCAGTAAATACACACCTTTATTCTTCCTAATCTGCTCTACGGAATAATGATCCATGTTCACCAATCCATACGTTGGACAGTTAACTTCTAAAAGTGAATCCTCTGCCTGTGACGTTGTACAGAAATGAGATTATATGCTGTGTGGGTGTACTGCTAGCATGACTGACTTGTTATGCTCTTGTCTATCATTTCAAGTTTTGTTACTGTCAGATTTAAGCACTGAAACATTTCACCTGTTGATAATTTATATAAGATTACAGTAACTGTATTTCAGGCATAACTTTTTACATTAAAACAAATGTCATGTGAACAGTTCTTTTCAAGTTACAAACTTTTTTGTTTTGTATTGTTTCTTGTGATGTTAGGAATTTTTTAATTATTTCACTAAATGTATTGTGACCAACATAACTGAACCCTTGAGGTTTGAGAAAGTTTCAAAACAGATGACCAAGGATAGGTTTTTTAAAAAAAAAAGGGGGGAGGGGGAGAGATCACAGATGCATCACCACACACCTCAGAGATGTAGTTTTACAGATGAATGTTTCAGTTATATGTATTGAAATGAAGTAACTGCAATAAAGCTATGAAAATCTAATGAAAAAGTGATTGTTGTGGTACCAGGTACAGTCCTGGGAAGTAAAGGTGGCCGGCCTGATGTTGACCATACTTCTCACATGTACTTTTGCATGCGATGGTCCTGAAATCCACTGCTTAAATTGCTGAAGACTTCTTAACACAGGCAGGTCTGGCTAGTCACACATGAGCTGTGATTCTCCCCCCCCCCCCCCCCCCCCCCCCCCATCCACCCCCTATCACACGGGTAGGCATTTTCTAGGAGTCAACAATTCCTCGAGAGACGGGAATCTGTGGGGGTTCCGAGATCCTAATGTGGGTGAAACAAGAATAGACCCACTGCCTCCTAAATAAGCATGCTGTAAGAGTCGATTAACAGGGGCTTTCTTCAAAATCGGGATGCATCTGCCTGAGAGGCAAGGAACCAACAGTCTGCACACAAATAAGCCAGATCTGTACAGCGAGCAGTCGCCTTGTACCCTTGGTAAAATGTTCATGTCTGACTGCACCCCGCATGTCGGCCCACCTATACAATGATACTAAGTCATGCTTGTTGTTGTCATCTTCTTTAGGATATGAGTTAAATTCTCTTCACAGCACTCCGGGCACATCCATAGCCACTCCGATTCCCCTCTCAACTTATTCATCAGCGTCGTGCGGTTAATAGTACCAGTCCTATGTTGGTTAACAAGACTTTGTGTGCATCCGGTATGCTTCTCATGCTTGGCCGTGTCGATCTTTACTCCAAATTCGCGTATTCTTAGCAGTGATGTGGAGACGTTGCTTCCAAAATCCTCAGACGTCCTATCTCTCTAAGGGCAATGACAATGTCTGCGTGATCCATGGGCCGGCCATCTTCAATTAACGCAGCACCTGCCAGTCTATCAGCTCTCTCATTACCAACAACGCATGCATACCCTGGGACGAATTTGAAAGTAACTGTGCACACACAGGAGAATTTTGCAATGACTCAAACCACTGTCTGCGTAACCAGCCTGCCCGGCCCACCGGATCATGCTCAAAGAATCACTTAGCACACACAGATTTGGGATATGCCGCTCGCTTGGCTTCTTTGTGGTCTGAAGAGAATGGCGCTGCGAGAAGTAACCAGGGAATCAGGCTGCCGCTCAACACCCAAGGAAAGGGCGGGACGGATGTACACTCATACAGTTACTGCTACCATCGGAACTGCAACTCTTCGTTTGCTGCTAAAGATGGGGATCAAGCGCGCATAGGAGTGTCCCGAGTACTGTCATGTCGATTCCTAATTCAATTCGCATATGAATCAACAATCAGCAGTTAATACAATACGAAATAATTTGGAGGACTTTAAACTGGCAGAGAAAGGCGTGTTTTATTAATCTCCACTGTCTGTTAACATCGAAATAACCAGAGATTAAGTGGTATTAGATGCAGCCCACATTGTGCGAGGGATATTCCCAGTTTTTTCTAAATACTTGAGGTCCTAAACTATAATCCCCGAGGCCCCTATTGTTTTAAATTAGAATAGTTACACTTTAAAATGTATAAGTCAAAAAGTATAGAATAACGCATTTCAAGCGGATTATTTTATTCAATATAAATAGGCTAGAATAAATTAGTATAAATACAAGTCTGAGATAGTATACACATATATATGTGTGTGTATGACAAAATTTATGGGGAATTATTTTCTTAAAAAATTTAAAAGAAAATTGTACCAGTCACAAAAGAAAAGAATCATTAAATCGATCAGGAAACCACCAGCCCCAGCACAAGACGACTATTTTATTATGGACAGACCAGAACAAGTTATTATCCTCCGCCTCAGAACAGGGCACAACCGATTACGTAGCCACATGTACACAAAATTCAAGACAGGCGTATCAGCCATGTACACCCGTGGAAAGGTTCCCTAGACAGCAGAGCATGTACTCCAAGACTGCACCGAATTTGACACATTAAAACAAACCTTTTGGCTAGAAAGAACAACAGTGGAAACAGTGAAATTCCTACAAGAGACAAAAATTGCTTAATAGACAACTTATTTCAGGCGAACGAAAGAAGAAGAAGAAAAGAAATTTGTATTAATGGGGGAAAAGGGATTTTTTGACTGCCCCTGTAGATTGTGTGGCCCTAAGTTGTAGCTTAGTTAGCTTATGTTTCAACCCAGCACTGGATATACCAGTGAATGATGGTATCGCTCTTTCAATTCACCAGGATTAATTAACTCCTTCCTCTGCCTGGCCTGAGCACACATTTGTTGTTGCATTTAACATCAACACGTGTTTCCGTAATAAATGAGAAAACAGATTGCCATAGCTGAAAGTTGTCCCTCGAGCCCGGAACTACGGGCACACAAAAGCGGGGAAACATGACAGTGAGCGCAGACGACAGGTTTGGTTTCTCACACGTGGCTTCACCGTCGCTCGACCCACACAACTCGACTGCGGACAGAAATGTCGACCTGACAGTACTTTCCGCGAATAACGAGTCCATTATCAGATAAGATGAAGTCTGATATTGTGCTAGAGGACGTTTGTGGTGCTGTCAAGGTTCCGGCCAACCAGAAAGTGGAGCTGAAGCGAAAGATCACCCTATGGAATGGTGTCGCGATTATCGTGGGAACGATTATTGGATCTGGCATCTTCGTGTCGCCAAAAGGAGTTCTTCAAGAATCTGGATCGGTATGTGTGTTTTTATGCTTACATTTGATTCCTCAACTCCCCGTGTGGGTCCTGGACCCTATTGCGGGGGAAAACAAGAATAGACGCACTGCCTCCACAACAAGCATGTCGTAAGAGTCGACTAATTTAGGGGTTCCCTTCGAAACTGGAGTGCATCTGCATGAGAGGCAAGGAACCAACAGTCTGCATACAAATAAGTCAGATCTGTAAAACAGATGTGCACGAAAACCTCAAGTTCTGGAACAAGCCTAAAGTCCAGAGGTGCACGAACAACCAGAACTTTCCCCGGAGTTTACAAGAAGAAGAATCACACCCTCGACCGTTTTTTTTTTTTTTGGGGGGGGGGTGGGGTCTACTATTATTAATAATAATAATGACAATAATGTGTTTAGTGGCAAAACATAGATCAGTATAGGTTAGTTGCGTATCCTTTACAGTGCGTTGCAGAACCAAATCTAACGGCCCCTGGCTGTTGTATGGTTTTTCTAGGCAAATTTACGTCCAGTAGTTTGCCGTTGCTTTCTGGACAGTCGGCTTTTCTTCATACCACTGTCGAAACCAACGCAAGGCACAAGGCCCGCGGCTGGGATCGAACCTGGCATCCCAGCATTTCAAAGCGTTCGCATCGACTTAACCACAGAGCCGACAGATATCAGTAAACTTGAAAGAATTTCTATAAAGGGCTGAAAGCCGCTCCGCAGCCGCCTTATAAAATTGCTGGGGAGGAAGGGCTGAGAGGCCCCCATCGGCCCCCCAGTGATTTCGTGTCGGCAGGCCCGATCTCCAAGCCATGATACAAAATTGCCTAGCATCCTTTCTGATGGTCTATCTCTGGTACTCCCCACCCCCCCCCCCCCCCCCCCCTAATCACAACTTTCTCATCGTCATGACATGCCAGGTTTCTTTCTCGTGATGGGCCCAGTTGGCAAGCAGACAACGTCGACCTTCGAAAGCTGCTCTCGTTTTGCCATCAATAGCTTGTCACTTGTTTGTTGCTTGTTATCCGCATTGACATCCCAGCACATCGGTCTCCCCATTGCTGGAATTGGGCATAAGCTAACCAAGCCGCACTTTAGGGCCTCGCAGTTTGTAGGGGCCTCATAGATTTTAATGTTGTGGTTCACAAATAAAATTTGATCTTAATAGAGACTTAAAGAAGAGATTATAAAATATACTTTATGTGATTTTACCGAGATATTCTAGATTATGAAACAAAAACCGACAATATATTTTCGTACCCATATATTTTAAATAGGTATATATTTTAGTTTTCTGAGATTAGCTAATGTGATTTTCAAAAGTTGGGACGCCCGAGCTTTATATAGATTAGGGCCTCATCAAGTCAAAATCCAGCCCTGGGCCTGATCCATTTAGGCTCAGCCCTCCGATACAGCTGCCATTTCAGTGTCTCCGTGCTGTATGTACCCATGAGGCTTGACTGGCTTATCTTTGCTCCGCAACCAGTTTCTTAATGCTTGCTTGTTCTGGCTTAACATATATTACCAACAAGCGGCTCATTGTCTCTGACTTGCTTGTCTCAACGTTTATTGTTTAATTAAGAACGACATGGCAGAATTCGGGGCACTCCATTAAGCACCTTGTCCTCATCTTCAGCAGCAAGCGTAGAGTTCCAATTCCGAAGGTACCACTAAAAGATTCTATATCCGTCTCATCTTTTCCCCGCTGTTGATCGTCTGCCCGATCCACTGGACACTCCTCTCAGTGCCATTCTTCTCAGACCCAGAGGGCCCTTACAACATCTGCCTTGCCATGCATCAGTTCACCACCAGGTTATGCAGAACCAGCCTGTCTATCTTCCTGTTTATTTACCAATACACCGGCATTCCCTGAAGATTTTATCAAAAGAACGATAACTATCCGAGACTTATGAAGCCATGCCTGTCACTCTTCACGGAGCATACCTGTCTCCACTTTTGTCAACATGTTCTGTGAGTCGGTTAAAATCACGACATGCATGTACAGCTGTTTCTCAAGCCAGCGGAAGGCAGCAGAGACTGCCTCCACCTCCATTCTCAAACTAGACGTTGTGGTATCATATACCAGGCTTTGTTGCACCAAGCAACGTCCATTAGCGTTTGCTAAACCCCCCAATGAACTTCGTCTGCCTGTCAACCCAGAGCCATCTGAAGATAATCACATCACCTTGGTAGGAACTGTCATGAATCATTTGTTGAACCTCTGATTCTGCAGCACCAGCTGGCCAGTCCCCGTACTCACTGCCCCATCTTATTAGAAACCTGCACAGGTGTGATTCTTGCTCGGACACTTTGACCCACTCCTCTCCTCGCCCAAATTTATTAAAGCTTGCACACATGCCTAATTGTGTCTTCAGCTTGCGCCATCCAAGACCTTCCTCTTTTCAGTCTGGGACCCTTAGCTGTACCTGTCTTCGTGCAGGAGGTGCCTTTTGTCTGCAGCTACTCTGAGATATGGCTTTGCTTGCAGAACTTTCAGCGTATCTGCAATAGTCGGCAGTGCAAGTATGTCTCGCATACATACTACCTGGGTTACTCTTGTACATCCCAGAGTACCCCTAATTCTGCATGTGTTCAAGTGTCATAACCTGACTGTTTGATACTGTCAGCATTCCGAGTCCATAATCTATCACCTACAGGAGTGAATGTTGAAACAACGTGAAAGACATTCTTTGTTCAATGTCTATTGATGCCGCCATCTTAAGTGCACCGAGTCCTTTTTTGTTTTTTAAAATTCGCGGCACCTTCCTTCACACTATTCCTGAAGGATGGGATTCTACCGAAAGTGATACACAGGTACATCAACCTGCTTTCTCTTTTGATCTTACTGTTAATAATTGTGAGATTTGAAACATCAGCTTTTACCATTTTAATGTCCAGAGAGCGCCATAATACAGCCTCTTATTCTGGGTTGATTACAGCAGCCATCACTGCACACAGGTCAGTTACTTTATCTACAGTTGCCGGTAGCTCCTGGGCTGTTTGTCTCGGTCGTTAGCTGGTCGAAGTTCCAACATTACTGCAGGAGGGTTACCCTACTACTACTGCCCCGTTTCTGTCTGAATAGATCGCACAGACTTTCATTGTCCCGAATGAAAACTAGAAAATAACTTGTCACTTCCAGCAAGATCTTGAAGTGTGCACATGCAAAGTAAAAATGCACTAAGAAGTTGTCATATGTGCGAACTCTGATGGTAATACTTCGGAATTGCATCTCACTTTTACAGTAAATCGTCAGTCACGGAAACGGGCATTGCACCCGCAAAATTACACACCATTCTGAACGTAATCGGCCGCCTGCCATTTTGGTGCAGTCAACAACACGCCGCGAGCACAACAGTAGAAAACATTCCCTATGCAATTCACAGCTCATAGTCTCCCACCAAACACTCAACTCAGTAGCTGGACGAGAGAATCGATGGACTCCTGGTCCATCAATGGGAAATCTTTGCATGAGAAAAAACTTTGCTAACACAAATAACTTTACAGAGCGTCAGTGGTCAGCCGGCTATCGGTCATTTTGGCCGGAACTCCCCGCCCTAGTCTCAACGCCTCTCGAGTCGGTCGATGTCAGTACCCTTGTATTCTCCAGGTCGCATGTTATGGATATAATAAACTTGCACTGTCCCCACAAATCAGATTTGCTTCAGTGAATGTGTGCCTCCACTCTCTTCCACGGTGCGACTCTTGTGCATCAACTTGTTCTGAACCCGGCAGATCAAGGATTGCAGTGTGATGCTGACCACATCACCTAGCGAGTGCCGATTGGTCTAAAAAAATCTAGCCCTATATGCCCAAATAAGCCTTAATTAAGGCGTAGAAAAGTGTCCTTCACTACTTTACAACATCGAGGATTGTGAAACACATTCACTAATCTCTAAATGACATTCACCAATCTCCTTGACTAATCTCTAAATGACATTCACCAATCCCCTTGACTAATCTCTAAATGACATTCACCAATCCCCTTGACTAATCTCTAAATGACATTCACCAATCCCCTTCACTAATCTCTAAATGACATTCACCAATATCCTTCACTAATCTCTAAATGACATTCACCAATCTCCTTGACTAATCTCTAAATCACACAGCAGCTCGCGCTTATGCAGTCTGATACAAACACGCACACACATACACACATATACACACACGCGTAAAGTTTGATCAGATGCTTTTTAGTCATTCCTGCCAATAGTTGGTTTAGAATTACAGTTTTTTTTTTTTTTTTTTTGGTAAATGTTTTTTTGTTTTTTTTTGTTTAAACTTTTTGGTAATTGATCGGTGACTGGTGGCATGTTTTATAATCTCGGAAAACAGAATGTTACAATCCCTCGAAGTCGGAGTACAGCTACCCATGAGGCAGGGAACAACCAAACGGTTGTACACGCAAAACTCAGGTCCAGGTAAAAGCCAAAAGTCCAAGCGGACGATTAACCCTGACCTTCCGCCGGAATTCACAGCCGGTGAACGAAGAAGAAGAAGAAGAAGAATGTTAAAAGAATAAACAGCAGCAACAGAAGAAGAAGAAGAAGAAGAAGAAGAAGAAGAAGAAGAAGAAGAAGAAGAAGAAGAAGAAGAAGAAGATGATGATGATGAAGATAATGATGATGATGACGATGAAGAAAAAGAAGAAGGAGCAGAAGAAGATGATGAAGAAGAAGAAGAAGATGAAGATAATGATCAAAAGAATGACAAATGAGATGATGAATATGCTGGTAATGATGATGATGATGAAAATGATGCTGCTGCTGATGATGAAGAAAAAGAAAAACAACAACAACAACAATTACAACAACAACATTGGAACAAAGGGACCATTTTGCATATTCAATGTTACAGTCACACTTGATGAACTGAATCACCCAGAGTGCGATGTTGGCCGACATTGCCCCAGTCACCCCGACAAGGTGTTGTAACTATCAAAACACAATCATGGACGACATCGTAACTAAACTCACTTTCTAACTACACTGAAATATTTACTCACTTAGTCATTCCCGC